GACCAACTAATGGCGGCTGCGCATGATCTATGCATCATTTCGGAATTTCGGAAAGCAGTAATCGCCTAGTTGAAGGCTTATGCGAACTATATGCGGCAGCGGTGTTAGCACATTACTATTGTTCAAATGTATTTATTTACTCGATGGTTCGTATAATTTCTGGAGGCTATACATCACTTTTTTTTTTATAAAGAAAAATAAACTGAAATGAGAAATTGCACGAAAGAAGTATCGCTCAAAAACAAAGAAACAAAGATCTTATTTGTTTGCTTGCCTAAATAATTTTTCAGTCTACGACTCGACATCTAAATTGTGTTTTTAAACGTTTTCCCCGAGCTTGACTCCGGTATTCAAAATGGCGCCGCCCCGTGAACGCTGTGGCATGCCTTGGATAGCGCATCTCAAAGCACACCGTATACACTGCCCTGTCTCTCAACAGCTCAACTTGGTGTACAACTGGGGAATAAAATGTAAATACTCTAAAGGTTAAAAAAAAAAAATCGGTGGTTGTTTAGATAGCAGGAGTTTACTCTGTCAGAGTATGGCGGCATTGTTAGATGAGAAATTTAGCCAGTGCAGTGCAACTGCTAGCCTGGGGTCTTTAACGTTCACACGCAGTAGTGATACACGACCGCACGTCGGTACGCTATGTTCATCCAGATCGAATCGGGCAGGGGCGAGGATTGAACCCGGGTTCCCTGGGTTCTGCAGCACGAGCTCCACGTTTCAATTCGTGCAGGTGCATGTTGCGCTAGGCATACAATAGTAAAGAAAAGAAGAAAACGAAGTGTTTTGTTCCAAATCAACCAACAGATCTGAAGAAGAGGTCCTCTTTCGACGACGACGGGCGTAGTCTACATTTCCTCCGATGAACCGAAAATCGACGGCAAAGTCTAGCGTACGCTTGCCGACCCTGCAGCATGATCTTCAGCCAAGAAGTGAGCCACTACAGCGCGTCCCGGTTCCTTCCATGCAGCGACGCGCCGATCAAGACCAGTCCAGCCGGAGGGTCGAGCCAAAAAGTTTCCCTCGGCCTCTCCTTTTCCTCGATGACGCTCATGTACGCGACAGTGACTGTCTTCGCCCTATGGGCCCTCTTGTTCTACGCCTTCCTGATCGTGTGGGGGCCCTCGGCTTTCGAGAGGACGTACGGGCCGTGATGGACGCCGGTTCAGCGGTCCATGGTCCATCAACACAAGTTTGGGGAATGCCGAATTAATGCATATTCGTAAACTAAAACAAAATAAACAAACAACGTGCTTTCTTCACTTTCCCTTTCCTCCGCCCCAATCAAAAAAAAAAAAATAGTGTTTTTCTTTTTCAGCGCTTACACGAAGTATGCATATTGTAAAGTATACTGGATAACAGAAAGAACAAGACACGGAGAGGTCTGTGTTTCGTCCTCTCCTTGATCGATTCTTCTTTTTGTTATCCAGTAGAAATAATATATTGCCGAACGCTCAGTTTCCACCCAAATGTAGCGCTTGCAAGTTGGAGCTGTCCGGGACCAGATATTAAAGTTTTCAAAACTAACTCTTACCTCATTCCAAAGTTATAAGGGATTTTCTGAAACTTTCAATTTGGAAAACGGAGAATCGTTCCCGGGAGTTGGCGCTCTCCAGCCCCATGTATGTTATAGGACTCGTCGGCCACCGAAGTCCCATCACAAATTTCCGAAAATCGCGCGATTATAACTTTTGATTGAGATACCGGTTAGTTCTGAAAATTTGGCATCTGATTCAAACTGCTAGCGCTAAATTCGGGTGGAGAATGAGGGTTCAACGATACGTATTTGAGTTTTTAGATTAAATATTCACAGCACAGTTTGCTTTGGGGGTACCCCGTACGAGTTGTGGATACTCCCATGGCTGTTGACGACGGATGCAAGTTAATGAATACAAGTTTGGTGAATCATGGTTGGCGATGGTTCACGACTTTGACGGTTGCCGGTTGACGAATGCCAGTAAATGGGTCTCTCGTGGTGGACGACGGTTGATTGATGCCGGTTAATAAATGCAAGCGTGTTAGATGCCGCCGATTCTTAAATGCATATTTGGTGGTTGTGAGTCGACGGATGCCGGTTGACGAATACCGGTTAATTAATACAAGTTTAGGTGTTTTTTTTTTCTTGTTGACGATTACAAGTTCAATGGACGTTCGCTGATGAATAACTGATGCCGATTATAAGATAATGTTTCGTTAAATATTTGTTGACAGACGTTGATGGATAATGGCTGCCGCATACGTGAGCCCACAGATGAGTCATTGGCGTACAAAACGGGCCGGTATGATTAATAATAATAATTTTAAAAAAAAGCTCGTCACGTACAGGACATCTATTAGAATTAGGCAGCGTTCGCTTTCAGTCTGAGTCGTCATTTGTGCCTCTAAGCTTTGAACCTTCTCTTCATACGACGTCGCACGGGTACGATCCCCTAAATTGCGAAGAAACTCTAACCGGGTATTCGAAAGTATTGCGTTGAATTTAGATAACGTTGGGCTCTCTCGTCAAACAATGATAGTGTACGAGCAGAAACCGATGGAGAGGAAGAAACTAGAGCGCTCTGGTTGGAATGATTAGGGGGTAGATGCAAAGCTAGCCGCCTGTCTCTCTACTCATTGTTCTAACGCGTTCGAATGCCAAAAGTCCCCCCCCCCCCGCCCCCCCCCCCCCCTTTCTCTCCTTACGTCGTCACGATATGCATAGCGCAAGTTCGTCTGCTCCTGGCACAGGGGTTGCGATGATGTCAGAACGTCGCGAGCTCTTATTGGCTGATTGCCAAAAAATAAATAGTGGGTAGACCTCAAGGCATTGCAATGAAGTCTACTACCCACTATCCTTCCGCTCGAAGCCAATCAGAACTCGGCGTCGTTCTGACGTCATCGCAACTCCCGCGCGAAAAACAGACGCATGGACACTGAGTGGTTAAGAAACGGTTGTCTTGGCTTATAATGTTCACGGCTCTCGCTTCGTGATTGGTCCTTCGGCGTATATATATATATCGATTAATGCCGCAATCTGATTGGCTGGTGAGGGGCATAATGAGATGATCGGGAGACGCCACCCGCTGCGTTTCTTAAAGTTCCAGTCACACTGCTCACGCGTCACACAAAAGACACGCTGTTCTTGGCAGCAGACATGATGACAGAATTACCCGCCTCAAAACATGTTCGAAACATGTCTGCTTCACATGGGTAGGCTTTGAACATGTCTGCAGACGAATTTTTGCACGACCAACCTGACGGGACCTTCGTACGCGGAAGAAACACGTTCCAGGCAGTGTCCCGCAGACGGTCGTTTGTATGAGGTATTGGCAGTGCAACCGCGGGTTTAGCTGACGCAGCGACGCCTATACGGAACGCAAGTTCGTCTGCTTCTTGCGCAGGGGGTTCCGGTGACGTCATAGCTCTGATTGGCTCCGATTGGAAGGATAGTGGGTAGCACAGGCGTAGACTTCGGGGGGGGGGGGAGGGGAGGGGGGGGGGGCGTCGGGGCTCGTGCTTCCCCCCCCGGTAAAATCCGAAGGGGGGGGGGGGCTGAGCCCCCCCCCCCCCCCCCCCCCGGGCCTGGGCTATGATCCTTACCGAGACGCTGTTTACGTGCCATGTCACGAGCTTCTAGTAGTGGCAGGTAAACAAAATAGCGCCCACATTGCCTTTATTGACAAAATACATGGGAAATGGATTCGTGCTTTCGTTAGCTTCAATCTGCAGTTCTGACGAAAAGGTAACGCGCAGTAACCCCCCCGGAGAACTTCTCAGCCTGCCCCCTCCGGGAAAATGGAAAGTCTACGCCGCTGGTGGGTAGACCTCGGTTCAGCTGGCACTTAGGTCTACCCACTATCCTTTCAATCGGAGCCTGTCAGAACTCGGCGGCGTTCTGCCGTCACCGCAAAATAGCGTCGCCGCCATCGCGTCTCGCATGCGTCTCACATCAAGTGCGACGCTACCGCGCGGCAACGCCAAGGACGCACGCGTCTGCCGCCTGGCGGCGACTCTCGGCGAGCTTCGGTGTGTTTACCGCTTGGGGCGGGTCGGGGGTCTACAAACGATGACGTCATGGGTGTCTTGTACGGTGTGTTCTCGAGAGATATTCGGGCGTAAAAAAATCCAATGTATAAACCAAGGATGGCCAAGCTGCGGCTCTCCGCGTGTTAAAGTGGAGCTCGCGGCCACGGTATGAGATAATATTCTTCAGGTGAGGACAGCGCGTTCCTCACGACGTGCCGATAAAGTTCGCTTTTCACTCTCTCTCTTTCTCTCTCTCACTATGGTTTCAAGCGGCTCGCGCCGCTTGAAACAATAGTGAGATACCGTGCTCGCGGCTCTCCCCTCCCCCCCCCCCCCCCCCCCCCAACCCTCCACTCCCCCGACTCCCTCTGAACAAAAGTTATCACCCCTCACGGCTCTTGGAAGTTTCGTGGCTTTATTTGCTGCTCTTAGGACAGGTTAGCCTGGCCACCCCTGGAATGGACCGATGAACAGAGTGCATTTCCACTATTTTCACAAAGGTGTCTTTAAGTGGTGCATTTATAATAGTCCAACTTTATGACTCTGGGTTTTAAGAATAAAAAAATCAAATCTAAAAAACATTTTTATTTTTTTATGCAGAAGGCTTTGCCGTTTTTTTTTTTGTTTTTTTTTTGTGTGTGCATATGAAGGGAAAAAAAAAGGTTTTCTAAGGCTTAATATTGCAGTCACGTGCTGTCTATTAACAAACAAACAACATCTCTCTCTCTTTTTTATGTAAAATGAAGGGCGCATGACCACGACTTGATCGGTCTCACGCGGTCCAACAACAACCCCCACCAATCCGGCCTTTGGCGTCTTCTTTTCAGGCCAGACTCGCTATCTGGGTCCCCGGTCCTTCTTTGAACCACGCCGAAAGGCCGTTCCGGGTCTATTTTTACGAAAAACCGTTAGTGTGGATAAAAAAACAACAACAAACAAAAACACAACTTCACAGAGATATACAGATATATATATATATATACACACACATGAGCTTGACGTTCATCGATCGCAGCGCCATTGTGCCGTGTAGCGTCCGTGGCAGCAATTAAGCTTGCCCCAGTTTATCGAGGGGGCAGGCTGAAACGAGAAACGGCATGTCGTTTTTTTGTGGGTTTTTTGTTTTTGTTCGGCGCGCTGTCTGCCCTATTTATGGCCTATGTTCCTATTTAACCTGCCCCAAGTTCATTGACGAGGATCTTTAACCAGGTGGCCATCTGGAAAGCTTATCTGTGGCACTTCAGAAAAAAATTAATTATGAAGAAAGGTAGCGCTCAAAATTAAATTGTTACTCAAAAGAAAGAAATTTAAAAAAGTCAGCGTTACCCCCAGCGTAGACAAAACAAAACAAAAACTGATTTCAAATTAATTATTACGGATAAAGTTGAAAATAATCGGATCCTTTGTTCGAAACTTTTCTGCCCGCATTAATAAACCGCATTGCAGTAAGCTGAAACTCCCTTGAGAATGTGACGCTAGCAGGGATGATAAGATGCGAAAGTTTGAAGAAATTACGTTACCTGGATCAGAAGATACAAGAGAAAATCCAAATTTATCTACGAGCCGGCGTTTACCTAAACTCAATATTTATCCTATAATAATAATAATAATAATAATAATAATAATAATAATAATAATAATAATAATAATAATAATAATAATAATAATAATAATAATAATAATAATAATAATAATAATAATAATAATAATAATAATAATAATAATAATAATAATAATAATAATAATAATAATAATAATAATAATAATAAAATACAATCCAGGCTCCTGTAGCATTCATTTCAATGAAAAATATAACTGCAACCAAGAAAGGCAATATTGCTTTCTTCCATGGTGATAAGTTTTTTTTTTTTTTTTTTTTTTTTAATGAATTAAATTTTTAAGGCGTTATAAATGCTATTTGTTGGTTTGATGAGCATTAGATTCAAATGGACGTCGGTTCAAAAAGATTTTTTTGTTTTTCTCTCGTGCCTTTTGATATAGCTGTAATGTTCTTTCTTCACACTTTCGCGTTGTATCCCTACTGCTGACTCCACATTCTGACTGAGTTTCAGGATTCTGCGACGCGTATAGTTTTTTTTTATGCGGGCCGAAAAACCGGTCCCGCCTGATCTATAAAACGCCGCAAAACCTTTTTTTTTTTTTTTTTTGTTTGCGGTGCACTGTGATTTGAAGCGGCGATTGGCCGCAGGGATTTGTTTTCTATCCTGTTCTTTCAGAGGTTTACCTCTTATTCGCGATCAACCTCCGTTAAACTCAACCAAGCGGAATATGCGCCAGCAAGGTATAAGAATTTTCTTGTTTTTGTTGTTGTTTTGCTACTTAAGCGTGATCATCTGCTCGGCCCTGACGTCACGCGGCCGTGACGTCACACCGCCGCGGTGGCGCTGCGCTCGACACCGTGCATGCGCAGACTATGCATTTTGATCCGAATCTGACTTGTGCACACGCGCAATGCCCACACCCAGTGTCGGCGAACGCTGACTTGTTTGACTTGTTTGGAAACGGCATGTCGGTCTAAGGTTGAGTCGGAAAGAGAATGTGACCCCCAAGATAACCAGTCCGTAATGCCATGGATTATCTACGTGACTAATCCAGCGCAGGCCACGTTTTTGACACGAGTTCGGCTAGGACTCGTCTTCTTCGTTGAACACGAGTACCGTTGATGCAGGCCTCCGGTACAGCCTGGTTCCACATAAGTTCCTGTTAAATGGACGTTCCATGTATTCTGTCTGGAACAGGTGAATATTTTGTGTGGATCGGGCCTGAAATGTCAAACGCCGATTCTCTTCGCTTCATTTCTGCTTTTTTGTTTTTTAATTTGGAACACAGAAATTCTACGTGTATTGTCTTTCCACTTACATGGCGTTCAACTTACCCTGCTCCACTTAAGCGCCAACCTGCCCCATCTAAAACTTCCAGGTGCTTTTTTTTTTACATTTATCGTTTCTAAGGACCAATTATGTGAAAGACTCCTTTGTATACACACTGCGAAGTATTTAATATTATCTAAAACTTTGATTCGTATAAACTCGAAATATGTGGAACGTACGGTTTCTCCTGAATAAGCGGAACTTTTCTTCCTTAAAAGTTCCGGTTATAACTGGAACTTTTAAGTTCCGGTTATAAGGCGGAACGAGATGAAGAGTGTAAGTGATGAAGAGAATTCATGCCACTAGGACCTCGTAATTTAGAAAATGACGGCAAAAACAAATATAGCTTGCGCATACAAAAAAGATAGGAAGAAAGAAAAAAAAAAAGTTTGTAAACGTAACTCAAACACTAATCATATATATATATATATATATATATATATATATATATATATATATATATATATATATATATATATATATATATATATATATATATATATATATATATATTTTTTTTTTTTTAGTGCCGATTCTTTTTGCTTTGGGTCTGGAAGGAGACCGAGACTTCAACACATCGACTCCAATTCCAAATCTACAAATAGATCCTTCGTTTTTTCGTGGGTGACCCGACACCAGCGCAATAGCGTCCAAGTCTATTTTAAGTCGAATTTCAGCTTGGCACGAACAGCAATCCACCTCATGTTCGTCTGTTAGCATGCGTAATGTTGGTAATCGTTATTGAACGCATTTCTCGAATATAATTTGCATCTAAGTTATACCCCTTCAGGTGGACCCAGAGTTTTTCCTGGCCCACATTGTCGTATGTACCCGTGATGTCCAAATAAACTAGCCATATGAAGTTTTGGCTCTTCATTGCTATATCTCTGCATTTAGTGTTGGAGAATACGCTATCTTCTAGCCTTCTGTCTCTTTGGAATTCATTTTGAAGCTCTCCCAGAATTTCCATTCCTTCTGCTCATTCTCCCAGTCTTCGCTTTACTATCTTCATAGCTAATCTGCATAAAACTAGTGTTACTGTTTTCGGGCGGTACGACTTGATGTTATCTTTGTTTCCTTTTTCTTTATGTAATAGCTAGTTTAATTTTGCTTAGTTTCCAATCGTTTGGTACGTGTCCCCCAATAATTATTTTGTTAATCACATGTCTTAACTTCAATTTGTGTGTTTTTCCTAGGATTTTGGTGAGTCCCATGGGTATGTCATCTGGGCGTGTCGGTGTACCTGCTGGAAGCTTACTTTCGTCCTTGTCCCATTCTCTTGTGGTCGCCTCCATTGTTACACTACGCTGTTTTCCTGTACCCTGCTGCTGACGGTGCTCTCCACTGTCTCCCTCTGCTCAAGCTGTGAAAAACTATATTCGATTGTCTGCCTAATATATATTCTCGTGCCCCCTACCCTTCTCCCCTCTTGGTGGTCACTGGTCAGTAGGTGCTGGCAGCCCTCTATCTTTCTGCCCTCCGCTTTAATGTGCCACTGTCTAGACAGCCCTTCTCCTTTCCAGACGCAGACCGGGTAGCAGAAGGGCCATGACGCCCGTAGACTCGACGACGTCGCCCCCGTCTCTGAGCCCGTACCATTTGAGCCCCAACGACGGCAACTCCGCGCCGCCCTGCCCGCGCAGCCGGAGCTGCTCCCTGGCCAGCATCGGCCACGTGAGCCTCAGCGGCGTCGTGGTCAACAGCCACGGCGCCAGCAGGCAACGCCGGTTCTCCGTCAGGGTCATCGAGGCCAGCCTGTGCGTGTTCCTCAGCCTGTGCGTGTCCCTGGTGGGACTCTTCCTCGGGCTGCTCTACGAGCCGCTGCTCCTCGTGGTGTTCGCGTGTGGACTCGTTGCGCTCGTGGCTTACCTCTGCTACGCGCTTGTGCTCTACAAGAGATCTTGGGTGAGTTTCGGGTTTTTCGGGTTTCAAGTTTACTGATGCCTCTTCATACAAAACGAGGGCAAGCGAGGGTTCAATCCCCACCCTTGCTCGTTTCGATCTTGGCGAGCATCGTACTGGCGTGCGATCCTGTATCACTACTGCGTGATGCTCGTTAAAGACTCCTGGCTAGCGGTTGTACTGGCAGAATTTCTCATCTAGGACTGAGAGACAAGTCTCCCGTTGAGGACAACTAACTTCACTTTGTCTGCATACAAACATACAAACAGCACAATTATTCTACTTATTTACAGGGTGTGGGATCAGCTCAACGACTAAAGCAATTAATCCCAAAGGGAGAGAAAGATATGTATATATATATATATATATATATATATATCAGGGTGTCGAACCGGAACCGAACCGAACCGAAAACCGGAACCGAACCGGTATTTTTTCCGGAACTGAACCCGAACCCGAACCGTTATATTGTTATCGCGATGAACCCGAACCGGAACTGAACCGGAAAAAAAATAACGGTTACCGGCTCATGTCAAAACGGTTCGGCCACGCGCTGTTGACAATGAATGTGCTATCAATGCCATTTGTTTTTTAAGTGCCGTCAACTGACACACACCTCGCTTACATATTTTTCTTCTCCACTCAGTCTTAGGAATATAACCGCTGCATCCATGAATCTTGACATAGGAACCAGTATTGCACTGGTCGCGGCTTGCACGGAAAAAAAAAATTAAAAAACTGTGCAAAAAAAAAAAATTGTGTCACGGGATTTTATTTTCCTACAATCTCGTAAATCCTAAATGCTGCTGTGTGCTCATTTCATGACACGTTTCTAGAACGCGCGAGTTCTTGAAGCTTGCTTCCATCGGAATGAGAAAAGAAAAGGCTGTGGAGTTTGATAATAATGCATCCGGTTTCGTATAGGCACTTAGAAGCTAACATATTTGTGAGACAGCTAACTCTTCTATTTTAATATTTATCCTATTACGTCCTTCTGGGGTTGCGTTCGGTGAAGTGTTTTTCATATTCCGTATCTTGTTTAATGAAAACTTCTTTAAGGGTCTAATTTGAGTTACCGAACGCTAGTTCAAATAAAGCTGCATTTTCTCCCCACTGTTCCTTCAATTGCTTACACGCCGAGGTAGCGGGATAGTTAGCGAGTTCTACTTGTAAGTGGGTTTGTAAGGAGGTCGCGGATTTTACAGCTACTGCGTCGGACCCAATTCGATGAAGTCCGAATGCGTAAACGTCGGTGAGGTAACTTTTGAGTGCACATAAAGAAATCATTCCTGGTAGAAATCCCTGAGCCTTACACTACGATGTATCCCGTTTCGTATGTGCTGATTTCAGATGTTTTATTTGTAATTTATTTTGATGTTGCAATTTGTCATTTATAATTTCCGAACCGGTTCGCGAACCGGTTCGCGGATCGAATTAACTGAACCGGAACACAATAAATTTACCTGAACCTGAACCGTAACCGAACCCGTATTTTTTTCGGTTCGACACACTGATATATATATATATATATATATATATATATATATATATATATGTATAAACAGCACAGTCGTGTACGCAATCTAATTGCTGAAGTTAGCATGACGTGACAATTAGCGTATATATATATTTGCTGCAAACATCTTCAAGTCTAATACCTCCTTTTGCTGGATCGCAGTAAAGCTTAAATCAATGTTGATGTTTTTTGTGGGGTGCTATCACTATTTGGAGCACCCGCTGCATTTAACGTGATTCAAATTGGCGGCAAAGCAACAGCCTAAGCTAAAAGCTCAAGCCGGGAGACACTTTCTCAACGCTCCAGAGCCTTAAAAAAATAGAACATTTTAAATTTTTAGGCGGCAAGAAGTCCATCTGCCTTCGAGATATGGCTACACTGGATTGCGCTGCAAAAAAGCTCAATTCACTTTTTTTTTCAAGAAATTATTGGTTTTAAGTGGTTGAGCGGCGAACGCGCGTCCGCACCACTAGCGCTGGTATAAGCCTCTCGGTGGAAAGCCTGTCATGGTCGCTCTTGGGTTCATGAAACACGATCATGTGTTTTCATTCCAGAACACGTGGAACCATGATTTCGAAGAAAGGTTCATCTAATCAACGCAGTACGCTGCTCACGTGAGGTATTTCAAGGGGAACATTGCGTTGGTCTACAAAACGCCCCTTCTAACGGGGCGTTTTGCAGACCAGCGCGCTGTTTATGAACAAGTTTTCCCAAGCAAGGTGTAGGCAAAGCGCGTCCACAAAAACAAGGTTCGCGCGAAGTTAAGCGTACTGTGCATGCGCCAAGCAGACAGCAGCGCTATTGCGTGGCATGACGCAGCAGCGCACGTTTGTCTTCTTAGACTTAGGCTAGGTGGCGCAAGCTACCGCCCGGTACAAAAGGTATAGCCATTAACGTCCATTCATCCATCCATACGTTGGTACGGCGTACAACACCCCAACCCGCATGAAGGTTCGCCAAACAGACACACGTCTTTGGGAGTGACTCTCGGCAATGACAGACTTGTCAGATGATGTTTTGAAACAAGATCGAAGCTAACTCGAAAATCACGGCGTGCCTTCAACGGCAAGCTGGCTTCCTTCCTTGCACCGAAGCGAGAGGAGAAGCTCGCTTTCCAAGTGTTTCTTTCCTTTTCTTTTTCTTCTTCTTCTTTTTTTTTATGCAGGAGGAAATTTGTTTTGAAGGTGACAACATAATGTACGTGACATTAATACTTACATCGTAATTGTTAGTTTCAGTTATTTAAAAATATTGTGAGGATTGAAAAACAAAAAAAAACAACACAAGCTTGATCATGCTGACAAAAATGGTTAAGCACATAATGCGCGATAGGCCTTTTATGGAAGAAGAGAAGGGCGTCTAGTCTGTACCGCCTACCGAAGATCCGCTGCCATTTCTGACACACGCCGTGAGATGGCGCAAGCACGACGGGAAAGGCCACGAATCGCGCGCCGCGCCAATGGGCGCGTTCAGTAGCGCCTCCCTTGCCTCCGAACGGAGTGCCTCGAGTCGGAGTCATCGGAGCGCCTACTGAACGGCAAAAAAAAACCGCGGCTCCAAACCTGCTTCTACGCAACTTCCGCTTCCTCCCTTGTGCCAGACGGTCTCCGAATAAACTGGAAGCAGACGATGGCGAGCACGGTCGCTTTTATTTGACGCCGGTATTGAAGAAGTCTTTACAAGGTCATTGAAGAAAAAGCGGGTGATTGTACACATCAGCGCTGCTGTTCGAAGCGATGCAACGCGATCGAGCCCTTCGCTTGGCTGTGCAAAGGCAGCTACTGTTATAAAAGCCGACAAAAATCGTCGTCAGTACACGCAAAATACAGAGCTCAGCTAATCTACCCCGCCGGTTGCGATACTTTTATACGCCCATAAGTTTGTTCTGCCCTTCGTAACGAACTTCCTATAAAATGTATTTGTATACACACGGGAAGTTCGGCCGCGCTCGGCGATCAAGGTTTTGTCGGCCGAAGCGAGCCTCAGCCAACGTGCACCCCGATTTAGCTACGCAAACAAAACATTAATCGGTATCATGCTCTGCGTGAGTGTCCAACGGGCTTCCAAAGTCGCGTTCATACCCTGTTTTTCTCTGTTGCGCGCGGACAGGACTATCGTCAATATTACCGAGTTTCCGTGCAACGGCGATCAAGACACGGCGCGTCAAATGAACGTTTGCGTTGTTTATTAGCATATTCAAGCCAAACAAAATACGGTCCAATGCATTTTCCGAGAGAGCCTTACCTTAAAAAGATATTCGAACGCGTTATTCGTCTTACCTTGAGCACTTTTCATTAATAAAAGCGAGCAAACCGCGCACCCGCGACAGAACCGAAGCAGCTTATCCCGCCATATTGTTTGTTTTTTCCTCTTTTAGCGCCGGAAATCGTCACCAGTCAGGAAATGACGTCATTTTAGCTCCTTTGACTCTACGTGCACCGTCTCCGGACTCGGTGCTTCGGAGCTTGACTCCGAAGCCCCGGAGTTACGTGCACCGGAAGTGACTTTTGGCCGTCCAGTGGAAGGAGTCAGTGACTCCTTGACTCCGGGGCCGCTACTGAACGCGCCCAATGGGTTCGCATTTTGCGTACTAGCAGACACCGCCCCGGGATAGCTCAGTCGGCAAAGCACTTGGCTCACAATCTCAAAATAGTGAGTTCACAATCTGCCAAGAACTTAAGCTTTTTTATACGGCTCCCTACGTGTGTAACGTTTTTCGGTGTCAGTTTTTTTTTTTTTTTTTTTGTTACAGATACAGCAAATACAGCCAATGTTACAGATACGGCAGATAGAGCCAAACGTTACAAAAAAACCCATCGAAATGGGCTGATCGAACACATTATGTGTTAAAAAGACGGTTTGGATAGCCTCGTAACAGTCTAAATATGCAAGTTAAGGGAGATTCGCGAATTTTGGTTTCAAGATGGCGGGGATCTTTGGCCGACAGTCCTAACACACCGTAGCTCGGAAACACATAGAGCGGAAGCGCGCGCTGCAGAGCCCAGGGAATCTGGGTTCGATGCTCACCCCTGCCCGTCTCAATCTGTATGAGCATCGTACCGGCGCGATGACGTGAAAAACCCCGGGCGAGCGGTGGCACTGCACCGGCTAAATTTCACATCTACACCGGAGACATCAGACGCCCATCGGTGTTAACTAGCTTCACGTCGCCTAAGCGCACGCACGGCGTAATAACAATTACATGAAGGTAAAACCGATTTTATTATACTGTTTACACAGAACCACCAAAATATATAAAGATGTTTCTGCGCTATATCAAAGTTTTTTGTTTTAAGTTTATACCGGTACCAAATAAATTAACGATTAAGAATTTTGTTTACACAATTGTCATATATACACTCTGTTAGCGTTGCGTGGTAACTTGCATAGACGTCGGAACTATTTGGGATAAGGGGTCCTTCGCGTAAGGGGAGAGAGAGAGAGAGAGAGAGGATTTTGATTTTCTGCTTCATCCCCCGTATTGTTGACATAAAATGTTTTCTTGCTCCAATGCCAATGGAACTTGTAAGGCCTCGAGATGCGCCGTCCAGATTGGGCGCTGGCTTGCGGCAGGTGCGGCTATTCAAGAAATAAAGGACCGCCGTACGTCACTTCATGACGCAGAAAAGCGCCGAACAATTTTTCCCCACGTAGCCGGACGGATGAATGGATGTTAACGGTTGCACACTTCATAACGGGCGGTAGCCTGCGGCACCTACCCTAAAAACCAAAACACGCACGACCCCCCCCCCCCCCCCCCCCCCCCCCCTTTCTAAGCCAATTTCTTTCCCTTTTGTATTTTAGAGCGCAACTGTTAGCCGCCCGTTTCCGCGTTTTACGGCTTCGCCGTTGGCGTAACCGCTCCGCTAAATTTAGCGGGAAATTGAATTGGTTTTGATGTCACGTGTCGTCAATTTTCTCGCTAAATCTAGCGGAGAAACTGAATTTGTTCTTGGGTGACGTGACACGAAGTCACGTGAACTCATTTTCCCCCGCTAAATTCAGTGGGCTACCTGAATCGGTGTTAAGGTGACGTGACGTCAATTTCCCCGCTAAATTTAGAGGGGAAACTTAACCCGCTAACGCGAGGACGGAGAAGCAGCCAAGGCCGCCTATCCGTCGTCGCGATTGGCCAGCGCAGGCCCTCGCGCCTTCCTTGAGGAAGTGAAGGAGCGCCTCAATTGGAGTGAGGTTTGTGAATTCGGAGGTAAGTTTAGCGGGTTAAGGAGGAGGAAGGGAGGGTACGGAGGGGCATACCCTCCTCTCCGTACTCCCCCCTCCTCCTCCTCAAGAGCTGCGCTCTAATTTCGCATTACAGAGATTTGTAAACGTCTTTCATTTTTGTAAATATTACGAGTGTGGGGATATCGCTAGGATAACCATGGGGATCGGGCAAAAATTATTAAAAAAAATTAATACACGCACCATCCGTTTTCTTTTTCCGGCCTCGCCAATTTTCCTCTGGTCAAACCTTGTCGGCGTTACCCCAACGCCGGACCCACTGGGAGGCAGGGTTGGGACTTTAGGTGGGAGCCGCGCGGGAGGGATGCCCAAATATTCCGCTGTCCCACAGGATGACGCCAGTGTTGCCAAAATGTGTCATGTGTATCTTAGACAGATAACGCTGTAGTGTAAGAGTATTCATGTTGGCAGGAACGATCGGAAATAAACAGCGCGCAAAAACTACAAACGAGGCAAGAGGGAAGATGCGAACGACACAAGCACCAGACTCACAACTAAATATTTATTGAACAAAAAAACAAAAATCACAGACAAAGTAAACCGCACTATCACTTCAGCACATGTCAAGATATGCCATTTCTTTTTTGTGTAGAAAAACCGATGTTTGGCTGACACATGCATCTTGCCCGTCTTTTGTTGTTCCATACGCTTCGAATAATTCTCTGGTGGTTTTCCCTGTGCCACTCCCGATGACGATGATGTTGTTGAATTCGGGCTGGCATTTACAAGCAGCACAGTGCAGATGCAAGTGACCCCCAGTGGTCGACCGGAGTGACCAGTCATGTTCAGGGGCTCTGTCATTAATACATCTGCCAGTTTGACCAATGTACACTCTTCCGCAGCTTAGTGGGATCTTGTACGCCACACCAACCACACAATCGACATATTTGTTCCTGTGCTTTGCGGCACATTGGCTCTTGCCCCCCAACCTTTTCCGTAATTCTAGGGCAGAGTTGAGCCAACTTTTGAGGTGCCGAAAACACAATGGGAACGTCAAACCTCCGGGCTACCTTTTTCAAATTGTGCGAGATTTTTTGCATGTAAGCGAGTACCTGGGGTCTTGCTGTGGGTCTCTCTTGTTTTCTGACTTAACCCTCCTTAATTTTTTTTTTTTTTTTTAACATCGTCTGCGCCAATTCCAGAATAACTGAAGTTGGAAAGCCAGCATCTGTCAGCCGCTCTGCCTGCATTTTAAAACTTACTTACATTGCATGGTAGCAGGCGGCCATGAGGCAAGAGGACACAATGCTTCTTTTTACGAATTTGGAGTTTGGAAGAGAAGAAAAAGGTGTTGTATTTTACTTTGAAAGTACATTATACTCTTAGTATTTTACTTTAAGTCCATTGCGCCTTGTGTAATTACTCCTTCACTTGAAGTATATGCCCTTTGTTTAGCTTTCACTTTACTTCAAGTACTTTTTAGATGTACTTTACGCCTTTACCTACCACTGCTGATAACTTGGCATACTTTTTTATTTGTCTTTAGAAAGCCAACCGGTCGTTATGGCCTCACAGTCAGAACATCATAATATACAGCTATCGCAACCTATTTGTCACGTAAATGTTCTCATAAGAAACTTGACGTAGATGACGCTGTGTCGCAATGATATATAGTTCCACCATTATGACGCTGTTGCATCACATCTGCCTGGAACTGAAACCTAACGTCCGTTATATATGCTTCTCCTTCTGAGGTGCAGCGAAGACGGAGTTCGGGAAGCATGCCGCCATTCTGGGCCGGCCAGCGCAAGATCTCGGTGGTGTCCGTGGACAAGATGCCCACCATCAACGAGGCGACCATCGAAGACGACGTGTCCCTCTCCAGGAGCACCGAGGAAACCTGGAGCGGCAAGACCTACGTCGTCCAGCAAAATTTGTCCTCGTAGCCGCGCGAGCGTTGGGCGCATTTGTGTATATACAGGGTCGATCACGTAGAAAAAAAAAAAAAAAAAGAAAAACAAGAGAACAAAGACCGGGGACAGTTAATGGCGCACTAAAGAGGCGTTCGACCGTGTCTTTCTATTCGTCAACGTGCTTCACGAAGTATAGAAGCACGTAAATAATCCGCATGCGCATCATACTTCTATTTTAAATTCGAGATCATAGATTAGCATGCCTTCATCCTTCAGCTCCCTGGGGCTCTAAGTTGTATACTCGGCGAGGAAGTCGGCGATCTCGCCGACTTTTTTGCTCGGTGCCCAACTTAAGGCCCCAGACCATTTCTCTACTTTCTCTATGAGAGGAAGATGGCCATGGTGTTAAATCGTGGGTTTTTTTCATACTTCGTGAAGCACGTATATCAAGTCAAAAACCCATAAAAAAACAAAATCGGAAATCTCTTTAGTGCAACCGTAATTGAACAATGAGACCAGCATCTTCATTCGGTAAAATGCCGTCGGAACGACTTCGGGGTGCCTATTTTCGCTGAGTAAGTTGAAAAGCTCCCTACTGCCGCAATACTTCCCGCACAAATGGCGTCGCCATTTATTGTATAGGCCACCGAAAAGAACGTATCCGCCCCCTCCCCCTTTCATCCAGTTGAGCATTTACGACTACACGATCGATGATACTGCGGTTGCTTTTCAGCTCATGCGTCCAAATGTATACAGTTGCACCGCGTTCAGTTCGTAAATGCCAGATAGTGATCCTCATAGCCTAGAGTAACTCTACGGGCTGAGCACAACATAACTGCTTTCACTCGCTCCATCTCATCGGTAAATGCAGCCAATGTGACCACAAAAAAAAAAAAAAAAGAAAAAGAAATGTTGCAAACGATTACACGAAGTGTGCTCCGGTCAAAAGCGGCAACTGTCGCGCCGTTAAAGTATATGTCTGCCTCTCATACAAAAGACAGTCTGCATACACTAAAGTTCTAGGGAACCGTATTTGCACTTCTGATATGGTATACGATGGGCCCTCCGGTACAAACTGCGCATGTGCGAGCATGTTCCCTAAAACTCCCTCTGTCTGAGGCGTGTTTTACGGTCCTGTCGCATTGGTCAGACAAAACCTAGCTGCAGACATCTTCCAACCATAAAGGAAGCAAACAGGTGATTCGGTCATCATGTGTGCAGCGGATAGGGTGTCGTTTGTATGATGTACGCGAGGTGTGCGGCTTTCTCTAGAGGGCGCTAGTATCTGTCTCCCTCGAGGAGGTAATAAGCGAGGCACCTCCTTCCTTACCGGATGGAGGGTGTAAAAGTTGGTTGTTCCACTCTTTCGGTAGCCTTATGGGAACCTTTTTTTAGACAGTGTAGTAGTGGAATAGTCGTCGGAGATGTGCTTCGGGAGGAGCGCGATTGCGTGATGTCTCTCGTGCGTGAGTGTCGGGGTCCTGCGTCCCTCGCTGTTCTCGTGAAGCTGTGGCCCTCCGTCTACATTCGCGGCACAGTTTTGCTTCCAGCTCCTCGCACGGAGAGCGAGCCTTGCATAGTCTAGTCAAGTCTGGGAGGAGGGGGGAGGAAGAAGGAAGAGAGAGAGAGAGATATATATACTAATGGGGGCGCCTTGCTGTAGGTCAAGGGTCTCCAAACTTCTTGGCAAAGGGGCCGGATCGGGAATCTTTTGTCTCGAGGGCCGGGAAATGAATAAGTAAATATGAATGAGAAATAAACTTAATAAATAAACTTAGATCAATATGTGAAAACGAAATCTAAAATTACAGTGAAAAAAAAAATCTAAGGTGGATGAAAATATATATACTTTATATTATAATTCAATATTTTCATTATGGCATTACACAATAATTGGGACCCAGAAAACTCACGAGGCATATAAATCAAAGCGCGTAGGAACTTTGGCATGTTCACGCAGGACGGAAGAGGAAAGAACAGACGCTGCCAATATGCAATGGATACGACACGGGACATTTCGCGCAGCATACGTGGGAACGCGAAGGAATTTTAGCGTACGTATAGTTACGCAGATATGAAACAGGGGACTAAGAATGGCGATGCTGGCGATGACAATGTCCACTGAATAAAATAATGCGTAGCAAATTGCTTGGCATTTGTGCTGCACGAAGAAACGTGTGGTTTCAGTCCAATTCCTCCGGGATTGACGTCTACGATCTCGGCGCTCTTCATCGATTCGATTAGCGATCGGCTTAACGTGTGGTACGTACATTCGAGAGCAATCCCTGGAATGGAGATACCGACGCTAACCCGTGTTTTAATCCCTTTGCGCTCTTCCAGAACCCGAACCGGCCATTCAGCGTCAAGCTAGGGCGTGTGACCTAATCACCTAGCCCAACCAATTAGCATCAAGTTAATTAAGTTTTTTTTTTCTTTCTGGTATTTTAGTTTTTGTGGTTAGTGCGCGTTGCGACACCGCATTTCTTTAAGCGCGCTAATTTTTTGCGCCGGTAGCAGCGAGTCCGCTGAAATCTTTCTTTAAGAACCTTTAAGGGTATCCTTTATTTAACTGTCGTGTTTTTGTTGTTTTTTTAGGATGGTATGCGCCGCCTATTGTGCAGGAGTGAATAATGCTTACGTCCTGGTTACTGAAAATAAATTTTGCGGGCGATTCGAACAGCGGCCTGAAAATTGTTCGTACCATTATGCGGAAGTCTAAATAAATAAGCATCTCATATCTCGAGTGTCTTATTGCAGCCTTGGCAAAAACCTATGGCGGTCAAAGTTTTCCAGTATACCTTCCTACGACACCGGCGATGGTGCTGTTGGTTCGAGGAATTTGTCGCACCTTTCGGAGCAGAAGCATACTCTTATTCTCATTCGTTCTACTTCAAGTACCATGTTAAGATTCATATGTTGACCTGTCCAATTAAGAGACAGCCTTCCCACCTTTGTGCAACCACTTCTTAGAATTTATTCCAAATCATAATTAATTTTTTTTTAAATAACATTATTAATCACGCGTGTTGAGAGGTTTCTGCCGATTGAAAGTAAGCACCTGGACAATAAATATGCCTTGAAATATCCAGCTGAACTCATTAATTTTATTCCCAAGCTGTCATTCGACTACTAAAGTTAATTAATTAAAAAAAAAAAGCTGAGCTACGAAAAGTTGGGTGCCTAAAGCCTAAACTTAACCACGAACCGTTGGGTTCCTATTTGGGTTAATTTTCGGCGTTTATCGGTACTTACCGAAAACGCGGCGGTGGCGCTGCTGTTGGTACTGCGCATGCGCAGAACAGTTCCTCTCACGCGAATCTGGTTTCTGCGCACGCAGTGCCCATAGTATGGTGCCTGGAACGCGTCTCCGACTGGTGTGTTTAGCGTCCTATGCTGCCCATACATCAAAAGGGGTCCCCAAGTGGCAACAAATGACGTCACAGAAGCCGGAGTGTCATGCTGTTGCTTGTCGCGATCCTGGCGGTTGGCCGTAGAAATGCTGGCGAAAAGCGCGAGCGAACGCGAGTGTCGCTGTCGTCAGGGCGTCCCAGGCGTCCCAACTTTCTGCTGCTGCAGCTTCCGTGGACTGTCACAGTGGGGAGCGACCTGCAGCAGAACAGGCGTCTGCCATATCCACCACAGCTGCTGAGACACCACCAGGGTCGCGACCGGCGACAGCATGACACTTCTATGACGTCATCGGGCGGAAATCGAGGGACCACATTTTTGGGCGCGGTAAACACACCAGTCGGAGACGCGTTCTAGGCACCATACCCATAGGCTTGTTTTATAGCGAGTTCGTTTCACACGCACTGGCACCGTTCGAGTTCTCTCCCAGAATGCATCGCACTCACAAAGTGTTGCACGGAAAACTGGACTCAAACGAACTCGCCAAATGCACCGAGTGCAGAAGACTGATGCTGCCGCCATCCATGTTGTAGAAAAGGTACCGACTTCAAACCGAAACTAGCGCCTTTCTGTTCGGAGTGATGCGTGGGAATGCGAGAATGCAGTCGCTACCAACGTTCATCTATAAACGTTGGTCGCTGCAACCTGTAGTTTATAGTTGCGATGACTTCAAGCAGCTCGGCTGCCGTAGAGATAATTACAGACGGCGTAAATTTCCGCAACCAGCTGTCTACAAAGCAGCTGGTTGCGATCTTTCAATTCTTATAACCGTTTACACTGAAGAAGACTGATGATGCTGTCCGAACAGAAGCTTGATCCGTTTGAGTATGGTATTATGCGTGAACCACTGAAAGGGTACGGCTTAAAACTAGCCTGTTGGAATATCCAGCAAAACTGCGACTTTCGATTTGGATCGTCATTATAGGTGGATTAGATATTAGCCTTGGTGAGGGCGTCGAGAACGAGAGCTTTCTCGAACAAAATACGACGGGGCAAGTTAGCTGACGTAGGTAAATGTTAAACATGATGATGTTGCCCAATCCTCGGGTAAAGTCTCCATCTTTAGCTTTCTCTGATGCTTATTGGGCAGTCAGAGTTTTCTGCTGGGGGAGTTTTGTCGACAATTGTTAAATTTTTCACCCGAACACAGATGGTGATAGACATCTCGGGGGCCGCTGTTGCGTTTGTTCTGAGCATTTCTTTACACACTGGTATATTTCAGCGTTTGTACGGCAACAGAGCGATTTAAAACCTGCAAATAAATCACGGGTTGTCAATTGCTTCCTTCGTGAAATAGCAGACGCTCACAATTCAAGCCCGCGTTTGATTCCGTTGCCCGCGGGATGCGATTTCTATCGGAAAATCTACCTTTTTTTCCTTTCGGTTCCGCGACACATCGTAGCAGACGAACCCTCGTCGTCTGCTCCCGCTGCTCGCCGGCCCCACCGGAGCGAGGCATGACGGGATTGCATTTTGGCGCACTCCCGATTTTCTCGGTGCAGCGAGTGCATGCACGCGTGGGGTGTCAGGGCTAAAACGAACTCGGAGAGTGCAACCACTCGTGGAGTGCCGGCCGAAACGAACCCGTTCCAGGCTGCGAGTGGACACGCGTGGGCACGAGTGCCGTGAAACTATGGTGCCTGGAACGCGTCTCCGACTGGTGTGTTTACCGCGGCCAAAAAAGTGGTCCCTCGATTTCCGCCTGATGACGTCATAAAAGTGTCATGTTTTCGCCGGTCGCGACCCTGGCGGCGTCCCAACAGTTGTGGTAAAGATGACAGACGACTGTTCTGCTGCAGGTCGCTTTCCATTGTGACAGTTCACGGAAGCTAGGGCAGCCGGAAGTTGGGACGCCTAAAGCGACGACGTGACGACAGCGAAACTCGCGTTCGCTCGTTCTTTTTGCCAGCATTTCTACGGCCAACCGCCAGGATCGCGACAGGCAACAGCATGACACTCGCGTCATTTGTTGCCACATTGGGACCACTTTTGATGTATGGGCGGGATAGGGCGCTAAACACACCAGTCAAAGACGCGATCGAGGCACCATAGTGAAACGAACTCGCTATTAGAGTGCCTCAATGTTGCTGGCCGGCAAGCAACATTGAGGCACTCTAGCTTGTTCGTAAACAGCCCGCCACGTAGCGGCAACGCCGAGAAGGTAAGGAGAGGAGGAGGTCGTTTCGACTCTGTCGTCTGCTATCGCTGCTTGGTTCTCGTAGGCAGCATAGAAACAGTCATTATTTTCAGTAATTATTTTTATGCTTGCGCCATATCATTTCTACGCACTGACTAGAAGAAGGCTTCAGCCGTCGAAAAATCGCTTTGCTTTGAAGTGAAACACGTGTTGAACGACGAAAACAACCTCCTCTCATCCGCCATTTTGCCTGACCAGGGGGAAACAAGGGACACTGACACCCCCCAAAAAATTTTGTTCATTTTTTGCCAGGGGCTTCATTATGGTGTCGGAGGACTACCCAATTAATATTTTGTAACAGAGTAGCGTATTTTTTTAATAAAACCGAAAGACGCAACTGCTCGAAATCGAAACCGAAACCCGACGGAGGTCGGAGAAGTGGAGAGAAGAGAGTGAGTGGCGGAAGTCACGTGGCTACACCCGACCGTGCGTTTTTGTTTTTGTTTGTTTTTTCTCCTCTCCGTAGCAGACGACACGACATGCGGCGTGCGATGCGGCGTGCGGGGACTGCTCGCCGGGCGATTCTTTTGCAGTTATGTTTGTTACGCTCGTTGTTCTGTACTCCAAGATGAGTTGTTTTGTACATTGAGGAGTCGGAGATGAGTAGCGAGTGCCCGTCGTGAATTTCCATGATCGGCTCCGAAAAGAATACACCCAAGATGTTGCGTGAAGAGCTGGCTCACATGTCCTGCGTACGAAAAAAAGTGGCATTGTGCGACAGAGTTTCCGAAAGATCAACGGGATCGGGACCATTGGCTGGCTGCAATTCCTGTAGAACATATACGGGCACCTCGGAAAGCGGACGCTACCTGATTTATATGCTCCTTGCATTTTGTGGAAAGTGATTACATTGAGTTCGCAGGTGTCAAAAAGGAAATCACATACCATTTAATTCAGCGAAGTATCGTCCGCAACATTTGTTTGTTATTTTTTGTTTGTTTCTTTAGTGATGATTGTAAAAAAAAGAAAAAAAGATACGTAAACATCGGGAAATGTTTGAAAAAAAAAAAAATTCACGTGGGATCGACCCGGTCCTACCGCGTGTGAACCGGACGTCTTTCCCACTGCGCTACTGGGGGATCTCTTTTCTGGTGGATCTCTTTCCTTTGTAATAATTAAGCCGGTAAACTGTAAGTTGGAAAGTTTGCTGTCGATTTTTCTCTAGCAAATGCACTCCCGAGTCGAAGTCGGGAAGCACCACGCTTTGGGGACATTCGCACCTAGTAAAGAAATCGTACGCGTGCATATTCAACTCGAAGTAGACACGTCGTGCTTGACGTTTGCGCGAGCGATGTCTTCAGCCACGAGAAGGGAGCGACGGCTCGGCGACGTCTTCGTGTAAATCGGCTTGGTGGCCGGGCGTGTCGTACGGGATGAATACCAATTCTTTTGATCAGTCCCATATTTCTCTTTTAAAGGTAGACAGAATTCGCCGGTACCGCGAACGACAGTTCTGAAATAGAGGCCCCACGCCCGTCGTCCGCTGCCATCGCCGTCCCCGCGAGTCCCACGATACGCGAAACGACGAACGCACAGAATGCTTCCGGTTGTCTGTGGAACTTTTTTTTTTCAATCAACGTATTTACAGCTTTTTAGAAGCCACAAAAAATGGGTTTCATATTTTTTTTTCTATTTTTAATATTGAGTGTGTGCCTTCAGTGACCCACGACTTTGATTAAATTTGGTGGTCGCATCGATAGGCTCCTTGCACTGACGTCACATCGCACACTTTTGAACACCAAGTAAGAGGAGGAGAGGGAAGCTGCTTTTGTAAGAATTTTGAGCGACAGGTTAATCTTCTATAATCTTCTGGGGGGAGAATAGCGACGCCTGTACAAATCCGGGAGGTACAAAGGAGGGTCCTGATAAGAGGGGAGCTCCTTCTTCCCCTCTTCTTTGGAGGGCAACGGAAATGACGTCCTGTGCAAGGAGCCTATACCTTAGAAAACGGCCCGTGACCTCGAAAAAGAGAGTGAGCGAGACTCGAACCGGCCAGTTCTTGATCGGCGGTTTTCGGGCGGAAAGAAACCGAATTTCGAGCCGCAAATTCTGTTCTGGGTAGTTGAGCTCTCATATGACACGTACAACTAAAAACCTCGGCGAGCATAAATACCCTGTCAGTGTCCCTTTAAATTCACAATAAAAAAAAAAGAGACCTCTCATTTTTTTAAATTGTTGTTTAACAATGAATAGTGCACACTCCTGCAAATTTTTATTCCAATATCTGAAATATTTTTTTTTTTAGAAATAAAACATTTTTGGGTAAGCTGACAATGCAAAATCCTATGATTAGGACATGTGAAACAGCTGTAGCTCCGCACCGGTACGCCCTAGAATGATGATCATGCTCTCGTTCGAAAGAGCATTTCTTCACAGCTTCAGTACATTGATTTGAGAGGAAACACTATTCGGGCAAGATCAAAGAAGTCCAGCTTTCCCGTGGAAGAGGCTATGCACATGGCCTAGAATCGAAAAGCCCGCCCTGATTGAACAGAAAACTAACAATAAGCAACATTCATTTATTGAAAGTCACGTGGGTTTGTCTGCGTTGTGTTTTAACGATGTTTGCCCTGCCCATAATTGGTGACGCTGGTTTGTGTATTGCAAGCATGTCCAATTCCTCACTAGTTTCATAATCAATGTCCACATGCCGACAACAAAATGACACTCGAAGAAAGCATTTTAAGCTCGGACTCAGCAAGGCCATGCAGGAGATCGGGTGTAAGCAGAAGGCACCACCTGTGCACTTGGTACCTTTTAGTTGCCACCACCACCAGCAAGATGAGATGTAGTGGTGTGAGAACTTCAGATAGGTTTTTCTCAGTTTCACCTTTTTGCAGCAATTTTGCTTTAGGAAGTCTATCATTTCAATGAATTGCGGAATTTATTCTTCGGTGTGGATGTTTTTAAACTGAAATTTAATTGGGAATGCAGCTAGATATTTATTTTTTTATTTAAATAAAGCTCTTATTTTTAAAAAAATAGGTTTTTGATGAGGAGAAAATGGTCCATTATGTGGAATGCATTCCAAATCGTCATTTTGCACGAAAAAAGCGCCGATTTCAGGGTAAAAATAGATAGCCGCACCCCCGATATGTCATTTATGGCTGCAGCTTAGAAATGCGCGATATTTCGAAGCAATTTTATGATAGATTTCTTTGACAAGAGAGGCAACCTGCATAAATAGCTTATCGGAAAATTGTCGTACGTTGATGGAATCGCCAAACAGTGCTATTAGGAAACGAGATGAATAGAGCCTGCAAATTTCATCAATATTGAGCGGCTGGTTTAAAAGTCGACAGTTGAAGGTGGTACCACCAAATCACAAACCTGAAAAAAAAAAAAAAATATATATATATATATATATATATATATATATATATATATATATATATATATATATTAATAATAATGACCAGCGACACATGCAATTTGGCAGGATGTTGCAGTTTATCATATCGACTGATCATAGTTATGTTTTGCAAATGCACTGTAGATGTCAAATAAACCTTCACAGGACTCTTTTTTTTTGGACGCACGGTTGTGCATTTTTCTACTCTGGAGGAGCGTTTTACTCTTTAGCACTAGGCTGCGCTGTGGTGAAGCGACATCCACAAAATTCCACTGTCTACACCGTGCCCTGGTTCACTGCAGAGAAGTAACTTATGATAAGTATGCTTAACGGAGTTAAGCATAGTTATCATGCACTGGTGCATCGACATGCAACACGCAGCTACTAATTTAGAGCTTCTAGCCTATGCTACAATAGCATTGGCGGCACATCGCCGAGTTGGCGAGCAGTTCCCCGAAACGCCTGTTTCTTTCACAAAACAGAACACGTAAAATTATAAATATCCCGAAACTTCCGCGTGACAAGTCATGTTCGATAAGATAATGATCAAATCAGATCACACATTCTTGTAAGCGATAACCGAAAGTTCTGAAAATCTACACAAGCTTGCAGTAACAAACCGGCAGAGTAGCGATGCCTGAACTTTTTTTGTACGGAAAAAAGAAAGTGAAATTATGAGTTTTTGGCGCAATATTGGTGCGAATTCCACACTTTGGTAAAATGTAGCAGGACGTAGCAGGGCAAGTACGTTGCCGCAGTTTCGTGCAACTGGCGCAGCAATCACATAACGGCGATACCCTCGTAGAAGATAGAGTGTGAAGCTTTTGACTGAGAAACGACTGTTCGCGATGAAGAGCAGATATCCAGTATGAGTTAGGTGTGCCACCAACAGATGGTGGAACATTTCATATGGAGACTGCTTCATGTACGATTTCTGACAACAGAAGCAAGGACGCAGGTCAAATCTGAGCATCTTTATTATTGAACCATGTCGATACAATGTAACGGAAAATGATGGGCATTTTCCTGGTGATGTGAAGAATATGCAACATGAAAACATGATGTAGGCAGAATTATATATATAAAAATGAGATAATTCCCACCCACTCTATCGCATACAATGGGAGGTCCCCCATCCAAAACATGCTTCACGTAACAGCACAAAGTTTAGTGTAACAAATATGTTCATTGGCTCAACCGATACAAGCCCATCCCTCGCCAATAACATGGTTGACTCTATAAAAATGTGACACCCGTTAGCACGCGTAAATAGTGTTCACTAGAGCCGCTCGGAAGCAAGTGGCTCCAATGTTCACGACCCTCCAACCGTTAAAATGTAGACTAATAAACTGATATCATGACACTTGAACCGATCAAGTGATCACTTGAGCTTGTCATCACCTTTAAAAAAAAAAAAAAAAAAAAAAAGAGATCACGACTCGTGACGGTCGACGCGAAGACTCGACCGATGCTGACATTAGGGGGAGGTCGCCTACACTAGAGCCACTAACAGTAAAAACACATCGGTCATCTTGGTACTTACAATCATTGTTGCCAGCTGTACAAGGCTTCACCTAACATCGCAGGAAAAGGGTTTTCGTCCTACGAAAATGTTAGTCCGCGACAGGGCAAAACAATGCCACCTCGGCTGCTTCACACCGTTGCAGACTAAAATGGTGGCAACCAAAATGAAGTTGTGGAACGAAGTGGCCGACGAAGGGTAGCTACTAATTTAGAGCTTCTAGCCTACGCTACAATAGCACCGGCGGCACATCGCCGAGTTGGCGAGCAGCTCCCCGAAACGACCGTTTCTTTCACAACGCTTTCGACAACTGGAATGTGTGGTATCACAAAAACGTTTCGGAGGGCGGAAGGCATACTTTGTTCGGAGGGGCAGTGTACGCAAATTCCCGTGGTGCACCTTTTCTTTTGTATATATTTGAGACACTTCCAAAACCCTGCATCGCAAAAAGGACTGCTAAAACGCAACGTCACATTTTTCGAAACATACACATGATACACCGACAACATGACTAGAAGTGAAATGGGCGCGGAAGTCGAGCAGCTACAGTTTCTGCGAGGTCAGTCGCAGGGTCAAGGAACAATGAAGCGAGGACGTCAATTAAATATGTTTGCACCGCAACAACCGAAATGGGTCCTGAATGATTAATGAATGAAACCCCATGTTCATATAAAATCGTGGGTCAAAACAGTGACAGAAGGCAAGAAGTTACACAACCTTTAGAAGTACCATTATGTTGTAGCTACCAATAAATGTGGAAGGCTCATGAATGATCATTAAGATGCACAGACTGGATGACTTTGTACATTCGGAATGATCCTGTCTTGACGTGGGCCAGAAAATCCTAAAGACTTAAGGTCTGCTCTGCTACTGTGTACATACACATTTTCTACAGTTCCAAATAATGGATGAAGACATTCTATGAGAAAGTCTGGTTTCAGGGAGTGTAAAGGCACGCCAAACATTTCAATGCTGCAGATTCTATTTACCCCTGACACATCCGCAGTCGGAGCTCAAAATTCACACTTGCCAACACAAAAAATAAATTCTGTACATTGTACTAGACTTATGGCCGCTGAAAGCTCGTAAAAGAAACCAAGCTACTTGCAAGGTGGGAAAACGACACTGCAAAAAACTCCACTCACTTTGTAATTCAGTCATGCCGAGTTTAACGTCAACTCTGTAGCTACAGCTTAGGAACAGTATGACGTGTCGCAACTTTAGACGGTTGCAACCAAACACCACAAACGAGACAGCACGAGCTTAAATGTGTTCCTTTGTTGTTAGATGTGCCGATTAATCGTAGCACCTGCTGAATCAAAAGCACAGATCTCCCCTGTTTGTTTAATCTACATTACCTACAGCTAGTTGCTTCACATATTCAATTATATAATGCAGCTTTTGTGGAGCTAGGGTTGTTCATGCTTGCCTAAAGCTTACCTCCACAAAAAACATGGTCAGATTCATGTCATACGAAACTAACGGCTTTGTTTGCAAAACCTGCCTTCAAGCTTTAGTTTCATGAAAAATAAAATTTAGGTCATCATCTTGCATTGGCCCACTGCTACTTTGTGAGTAGATTGCAAAGTGTGCAGCTATCCTGACACATTATTTGCATTATGATCCGATTTGGTTATAGAAGGATGATTCATCTTTTCTGTCCACAAGCGAATTTGAGCAGCAGTAGTCCCTCGGGGTAACAACTGACACTTTGTCGGTAGATTCCTAAGCACACAGCTATTCTGACAGATTGCACTACAATTGCATTTGATCAATGTAGGAACGACTTATCATTTCTGTCCACAAAGGAATTCGAGCAATAGTGCAGCTAATCCTGCCATATCAATCAGGTCTCTATGACAGTAACATACAGAGAGGCTCGGCGACTCCTTGGGCGACCAGGAATGATTTCGAGCACCGGTGAAACAGATGTTAACTTGAGATGCCCACATTACTCTCCTGCGGTGTTTGGTTCATAACCCTGCCATTCAACCGTCGACAAATCTTCCACTGACAGATTACGCACGACCGTGCAAATCGAGCAAGCTCGAACCTCGCTCTATCTGCACGGTGGTCAGTGAGCAACATTCAGAAGCTTTTCACTGCATGTGCCGACATGCAACACGCAAAACGACCACTACCCGGTTTCAAGGTCACACAGGAGTGACCTTGAAACCAGGTAACGAACAAGGGTCGCCCGCCTCGAGACAGGGTGTCAGGGAATCCCTCTTCGGGGACGAGTTGGTCAGCGAAACGCGCTGTGGCGAATTGCGTCCCGTCGACGGTGTCTCCGAGGGCTCGTGACTTTCGCCGGCAAAACCGTTTCTGATGTTGATCTCCGAAGATTCAGGCTGAACGATGCTGGATGCATTTGGGTGCAGCAAAAGGTAGTAGATTATCTGCACATAAAAAAAAATTGCTCGGCTTAGACATTTTTAAAGGCAACGAAGGTGTAATAGGCACTAATACACTATTCCTGCTCCACCTCCATGCAAAATCTGCGTCAAGGGGGGGGGACGCAGCAGTGTGCTAACACTTTCCCCCTCCTCCCCTCTCCACATCGCACAACGCAACACTACTGGTAACGCAGGCTATATCAAACCAATAGCTGTGCCTGCATGCCATTTCTGACGCTCTTCCAGGGCCTTGCTGCAGCACGGCTGACACTAACACGAGCATGCCAAGCACTTTAAAAGGACCCTCGTTTGATATGCAAGAGCTTAGCACCAAAAAAGACCAGGGCCAGAGCAAGTTACACATAGGAGTTGGGCCATGGAAGAATGTTTGGAAGGAAAGGTCTCTGAAATGACATTGATATTCAGCATTGATGTTTGACATGACTCACTGGTGCTTGGCACAACTCACAGCAGTTCGACAAAACTTGTAGATGTTCGGCAGAACTCCTTGATGCTCAGCGAAACTCAAGGGCGTTAAGCAAAACTCCTATTTGTGGCTTGCCGTCCTGGACGACCGGGCTCATCCAGGACAAGCAACACAACATTACTGTAGTGTTATCCCACAGCCATGTCATTATCATTGAGATAGTGTGCTCGAGACTTTGTCTGGCTTCTTTGTTCGCTCGATACTGAAATATAGTATATAAGGAACAGTTGCTGAATAAAAAGGGCGTTTCTCGCTTCTGAACAAAACATGGTGTGACAAGTGGGATACGAACCCACACCTGGAAAACAGCTCAAGCATTGTGCCCAGAAGCACAACGTCTCCTATTCTCATCAAGCAGTGCAACCAGGTTTGTGTAGGTCATCATCACACATAAACCACAGTCGCAGTTTGAAGCATTTCCAAGGACAATCTCTTGCTTCGGCCAGCTCTTTTTTCCCCTATAGGATTCTTGCGTGGAACAACCTCCCCAGATCAACCCAACTGGTAACTCCGGTCAGAGAATTGGTTTGGGGATTTCTTGGTAGGAGACTTGAAGAAGGAAAGGCACCAGTAGGTAAGGAAGAGGAGAAGCTGCTTTATACTAGGGGCAAAGATCAGTCGCAATGGGCACAAAAGCAATGTTTCCGGAGCTCAATCTAGATCACCGTTGCTCAATGGAGCCAGGAGGATCTAGTGTCGTTACTCGAAAGAAAGTTTGCACTCGCTCGTGCCATGCCCACGCCGCTTCATACCGAATACTTCTAAAAGGAGAAATTTGAAAAATGGTGGACTGTCACCATCACTGACCCGGTCCTTTTCTGTCAAGTGGTAACAAGTGATGTCTCATAACTAATTTATTGTGTTATGTTAGTATTCGATGTCCTTTTGTTTTTGTATTACTCCCTAATGTGATGGATGGAGGACGGATGGATGAATGCTAATGGCTGTACCCTTCAGAACGGGCAGTAGCTTGCACCACTTAGCCTTCGGGCCCTACCCTCTTGAGTTCTGGGCTTTCTTTTCCCGCATGCCGAATGCAAATTTTGGTCTCGGTTTTACGCTATAGCACACTCAGTGAAGAATATTTACTTAAAACAAAGACAATCTTTTATGAGCAAAAAGTTAATTGATGTCTGCATAACTCCAACCTAGGTCATATTTCTTGAATTGTACTTTTCAAGACTTGCTACTATGCAGTGGCACCTCGACCTGACACCCCAAGGTCACTCTTTCGAGCAGCCTTACTTGGCCTTCATTTATTTACAACGGTAACTTCCTTGTTTTTACAGTCATTTGAACACCAAGTTCAATAGTCATTTCTAGATCTTGGTGTTTGCCACAAAGTGCGAGGTTCAACGACATAGTCTCGCCATTCTGTGACAACAAAGGAGCATACCGAAATTGAAGTCGCCTAAACAAAGAAAACATATGTGCCATCAAAACGTGACACCACAACATAAAACATTGTTTTCGTCGCTCGCTAACACATACCGCTATAGGTAAAGAAAAAAAAAAAGTGAAAGCCGTTTACAACTCCCTGTAACACCGAATTAGAGCGCAGCTCTTGAGGAGGAGGAGGGAAGGGTACTGGGGGGGCGTCAAGTGACCTGGGGGGGTCACGAGACGATGCCGATGATGCCATCAGTGATGTCACTGATGACGTCATCAGTGATGATGGCGATGACGATGCGGATGCCGGGGACGTCATCAGTGACGTCACTGATGACGTCATCAGTGATGATGACGATGACGATGCGATGACGATGCGGGATGCCGGTGACGTCATCAGGGAGGTCACGTGACCTCGGGGAGGTGTCGCGTGACTTCAAGGGGGGGAGGGGGGTCATGTGACCTTGGGATGACCTTGGGCTGACCTTGGTTACGCCGACGGCGACGCCGACGCCGCTGAAGCCGGGAACGGGTCCCTAAGAGCTGCGCTCTAAAAAAAGACAACTTAGATGGGATGGGTCGGGAGCAAACCGAAATTGAAACCACGTGGGAACCTGCCCAAGTGTACTCGGGTTAAAGGTATATAGGGTGTCCTAAGTCGCCAGGCTTGACCTAAAATGGACCGTAAAAATCGACACCTGCACGTAGCAATCTAAACGTTTCGTCAAAGGTGTATTCCACATGTCAGTTTTTTCTTGTAAAATTACAAAGGGTAGCTCCCTTTCTGTAAAAAATAGGGCCAAGAAGTTTGCCAGGCTCAACAGCGGGCGACAACGCAGAAGGACCGAGTCGAGTTGGCGCTTTGCGCTCATATCGATAGATGGCGCTACCTCCTTTTTCCGGCTTGCCTTTAAAGAAATATTGAAAGTGCCCGCGTCGAGCGTAGTTTATTAATATGAACATAACCGTTTTGTAATGTACCTTTGGCTTAAAATAAATGCAGCCAATGATAGCAAAACTTGAAGTAACAAAAATAAAAGAAAACGCAGTTGCATAATGACGGCACTCTTGCTGCTGACAGATTTCGTCTGCATGTCGTCTGCTTTCTTTTGCTAGTCGGCTGCATCCTCCAACGCTGCTCGCAAGACCTTTTTTGTCACGGTTGGTGGGAAAACAGCCACATGCATCACCTGACTGTCCAAGAGAGGGCACAGGTAGTCCTTTGGTTTACAGAAACCAGGAGCATGAGGCAAGTGAGCCCCAAGTTTCGAGCCACTTTCTGTAGGCATCCACCCACCCGTCGGACTGTTGTGTGCTGGGTACACTGATTCAAAACGAAAAACACTGCGGAGACCAGGCTGCGAGCATTTGAAGAGGGGTTGCCACAGCAGAACAGACGTCACACCATGCTTGCGGCATTTGCATTCAACCCACAGCTGTCCGTACGACAGGTCGGAAGACAACTTGGTATCGGTAAACATTTCGTGTGGAGAATGATCCGCCAACAAATGTGTCCGTTTAAGCCACAAGTTCTGTTCGAGCTGCAGCCAGATGACTATGAACAGCGAAAGCAGTTCTACGTGGACGAACTTGGGCGCATCTCTACAAACAGGAACCACCTTCAGTTTCTGCTTTTCACGGATGAAGCTATTTTCCATCTGGAAGGGCACGTCAACAAGCGGAACACCCGCTGCTGGTCCGAGACAAACTCTCACTGGATCACTGAAAAGGCTGTCCAGTCACCAAAGGTCGTAGCATGGTGTAAACTTAGGAGGGAGGGCATCGTTGGTCCATTCTTCTTTGAGGACACAGTCACCGGCGACGCCTACCTTTGCATGCTTCAACAGGACGTCTTGCCAGAGTGGGAAGCTTCGCACATGCGAAGGGAAGTGTGCATCTTCCAGCAAGTTGGAGCATCCCCGCACTACGCCACAGCAGTGACTTGACAGGACCTTTCCCGGCAACTGCATGGGTCGAGGGCCACCGACAATGCCCTGGCCCTCACGGTCCCCTGACCTGACAATTTATGATTTTTTTGTTTGGGGTTTTGTAAAAGATCAGGTCTACACAATTTGCGTGTGCGCGATGACGGAAGTAAAAAAGTGGATTATATCCGCCTTCAATGCCAGCATGGACAATATGCGGGAGGCAGCCTTCAGGGATTATGAGCGAAGACTGTACAAGTGCCTCCAAGTTCGAGGACATATTGATTGAAGAGCACATATCTAACCTATTTGTACATATGACCAATGCCTTTGATAACTGCGAAAACCGTGGGCTTCTATGAACAGGCTCTTTTTAGAGCCATTGATTGCTGTTTATCTGGAGTTTGCTTTGGTAGCCCAGCACGTCTCGAAAGTGTGGTCCAAGTAGCGTCCAAAGTGACGCATTGTGGCTGTTTTCCCACCAACCGTGACAAAAAAAAGTATCGAGAGCAGCGTCGGAGGATGCAACCGACCAGCGAAAGAAAGCAGACTACATCAGACGAAATCTGTCGGCAGCAAGAGCACCGTCAGCGCCATCGTTATGCAACTGCGTTTTCTTTTATTTTTGTTACTTCAAGTTTCGCTATCATTGGCTGCATTTATTTTTAAGCCAAAGGTACATTATAAAAGATTATGTTCATATCAATAAATCACGGTCAACATGAGCACTTTCGATATTCCTTTAAAAGCAAGCCACAACCAGGAGGTAGCGCCATCTACCAACACGGGCGCCAAATGCGACCTGCAACTCGACTCGGTCGTCTGCGTCGCCGCCCACCGTTGAGACTGGCAAGTTTCTTGGCCCTATTTTTCACAGAAAGGAAGCTATGCTTTGTATTTTTACAAGCAAAAACTGATGTGTGAAATACACTGTTGACAAAAAGTTTAGATTGCTATGTGCAGGCGTCGATTTTTACAGTCTAGGTATTTTAGATTGAGCTGGGGACTTGAAACACCCTATATAACAAATCAATAAATAAATAAATGTACAAACAACCCAAGAAACACAAATTTGGCCAATGGCTGGCAGTGGTCCTGTGGCCAGTGGCCAGCCATTGGCCGATGACTGGCCTTTATCTGGCGATCAGCCATTGGCCTAGCATTGGCCGATGAACGACCACTCTTTGACCATTGGCCAATGCTTCCATCCACACTGCTTGGGAAAGGTCTTTAGAAACTGGTACTACAAGACCGGAGAATGAGGGCCCGTCTTGAGGAGTACACAAGAGTGTATACACACCAGGAACATGATTCCCATGCAGAAGCTGCAGAAGCTCCCCAGTAGAGCCACGGTGTGGTACCAGGGTGTCGGTTCGGCGTACCGGTACCACAGGCCCAGCAGCAGGGCGTTTTCGGCAAACATGACAGCGTAGAAGAAGGCGTACCGGAAACGACGGTTGCCGGGAGCCATGTCCACAAAGCAGAAGACATAGATGGCCGCCAGGACCGCCTTGAAGAACAGCTTGTCCGTGCTGCATCCGGGAAGACACGCATGACAGACTCCTTCCTTTCCCGAAGTAACCCAATGCATACTCCGTTTTGCCACACAACAAACTGGGAATGACCCTACGAGCCATCGAAGCCAATCCAATGCCACATAGATGACATACGGCCTTTGTCAGCGCCAGATCTGCTGGGATGGCTCGTGGCATATGTTGCTATTCCCCTTGAGGTGCAACAAAGCATAGCTCTGTGTGAACGTCCCATAGAGTGCAGCACTATAGGGGATCTGCCGGCATCGAAACTAGCATTGGCAAAATGACCTTCATTATCGTGTAGATGCCAGGACTCGAAGGTATGAGGCACACCGTATTATTTTTCTCGTGCCTCGGGGTAAAATATTTGTCCACACCTTTTGGAAGCCCATCTGCCAATGTGCCACAATTCCTGTCACGTTGATTGCTATGGCATGAAAACTACTACCGCTAGGAGTTCCAAGAGCCCCACTACCGAAGGAAAAAAAGCAAGGTTAGCAAGGAGAAAAACATGATCATGGTTGAACCTCCCTTATTCAAGGTGTATTCCTAGGCTTTACAGATTTGTTTTAAAAAAGCTGCGAAAGCTACACCAAGACGGCCTGTGAAGATGAGCTATATGGCAAGGGGGACCGAATATAGGTGGATAATCGTCGCAATAGGTTGAATTATTAAATATTTGTTAATTCCGTTTTTAATTATTGATGATAAAGAAGTGGTTCTAATCAGAAACTTGCTGAGCGTCATTGAAAACCATTAAATCAGTACATTGGAGAAAGATTAGAGGTGCATGGGAAGCATGGCGGTGTGTTAAAGTTTCCACCCGTGCAATGGGTGTAATTGTTGTCGAGGGGCCGACCTCTTCATGAGAATAGTCAAACACGTCTGACCTTTAGAGCTATTCAACTTCGGGCCTTCATATTAATCCCCAAAAGGGGCGATACAACCATTTGTGTATTTCGCGTAATTACCGCTTAGAACGGATCCCTGACGTTAATGACCTGTAAAATACCCGTTCCGTTTTTCACCACACGCAATCGCAGTCGCAGAAAAAAATAAAGAAAAACGGGCAGAGTTCGCCCCCTCAACTCGCAGCCAGAATAAGCGGCCATGTGATTTGGAGCCGATTATATGCCGCCAATCATAGTCATGCGCTGGGGTTGGCAAGGCACAGGACACGCGCTGAGTTCCAGACATTGTTATGGTTCGGCTGTTGTCGTCATTGCAGCGATTGGACACGGGCCACTACCCGAATGGTTCTCGAGCTATCGATTATCACGAGCCCAAATCAAGTGTCCACGCCATGCTCGGGTCCAATCTACGAGCCGCATTCAAATATCGTCACTGGGTGGTACTGCTACCGCCCAGCTATGTCATCAGGTTTTGCGAAGGAGAGATTGAATGAAAACACTCGGTTTTGTCCTCGAAATTACAGCGCAACAAAGAAGTTTCTTGGTCAGTGGCATTGCGTGCGAGTATCCTCAATCCCACTAGTGCCAGCAAGTTTGTGTAAAGTGAAAAATATTCCAATTGAAAATCGTTGCACCACCCCTTTAACCGTTCTTAGTTCTGGGAAATTTCTAACCCTGAACTGCTCAATTGTTGTCTTCAAAATTACATTTGTTGCCTTAGAATCAAATTTCGAGCCACAAACAGAATAAAAGCAATATTTAAAAAACAAATTCAGGGCCGCCATTTGTAGGCACAGCCGCAAACTAAGCCACGAGCGAGCCTGGCTCGTCGTCCCAAACAGTTGAGTGCATGAACCGGGGAAAGCAGTCAAGCTATACCCGTCTTGAAAGGTTTGGGAACAGCTCCATGTTGACGTGCTAGGCCATTCAAAACAGTTAAAGGACACATGCAAAGGAAAAAAACATTTTTTTTAGACAGCTTAGATGGAAAAAGGATGTCATAAAACAATTTTACAACGAAGAAAAAAAATGTTTAGAGCTATATTTACGGCGCTACACGAATTTGTAGTTGGCACTCACAGGAGCCGCCGCTGGTCACGTGGTAGGCCCGCGCGCCACCGCGCTGCGTAGCTGCCGCACGCTGAGTGTTGTGCGAACGCCGCTTCAACGCGTTTTTCCACGCCGCCGTCGCCGCCGCCGCACAAATTCGTCTGCTTCAGGGCACCGCTGCCGTAGTCTGACCGGCGCACAGGTCTATCACGTCTGCTTGCGCTTTTTTAGGAGTTTCCTTTGGGCTCTAAAAGTTACATATTCATTTTAGTTGTTCGTTATACTTCAGACAAAGATGAATAAGTTACTTTTAGAGGCCATAGGAAGCTTCCGAAAGAGCGCAAGAACCACGTGACAAATATGGGCCCGTCGCGTGATAAATAAGGGCCACTTTTCCGCGGCGCCCGCCGGTGCCAACTACAAAGTCGTATAGCACCGTAAATGTAGCTCTAAAAATTTTTTTTCTTGGTTGTAAAATCGTTTTATGATATCCTTTTTCCATCTAAGCTGTTTAAAAAACATGTTTTTTTCCTTTGCATGTGTCCTTTAAGGGGTTAAACGAGGCTAAGCTCTTTTGGTACTGTCTATAAAAAATTCTGATAAAATAAATTTTCTGCCTGCTATACTCTACCTTGGTTGGTGACACTTAACATCCGAAAAACTTTGAATCTTCGTTGACGATGAATGAAAGCTTGGAAACACTCTGAATTTGAGGCGGAAAATAAACTTTGAAAATCACCCTTTGATCTTGCTCAAAAATGAACTCTGAGAATGTGGGGCACTAACTATAGGCGCCGTCGGGACAATGCCGACGAATGCCCGCAACCCACCGTGTGTCGTACTGGCCGATGCGGACGAAGCGCACCAGCCATGCGAACATGAGCAGCCAGTGGGCGAGGACGAGCACGAAGAGGGCCCAGTGGAAGACGGCTGTGAAGAGGGCCAGGGCGGCCAGGCGGGGGGCCAACACCAGGACCCGCCACAGGTAGCAGACGATGGTGGCCTGCCACGACACGTTGGGGCTGTCCTCCAACGAAAAGCGCAGTGTGCGCACGTATGCCACCAGGGACCACGCAATGGATGCCACGCTGATGCCCACTGACGCCTTCTGGGCGACCACTGCGGCACGAAGAAGAAACGACGGCCAGACAAAGTCTGAGGACGCACGAAACACAACAATTTTGTGTGAGGGCTGTTTTACTTTTCTATCTCCAATGGACTAAAAAGAAAAACGAGCCATTAAAATTTATTTTTAACAAGCACAAAAATGAAATACATATTTTAGCTACTTCTCCACATAATTACGACTACCGTATTTACTCGAGTAATAGCCGCACTGTTTATGAAGAACGCCTGAGGGTTCGCTTTTCCGCGGGGCACGCGGATTGCCAATCACCTTGATCGACAGCATGACTCCAGCGGTGTACAGGACAGCGATAAGGTCTTCGTGCGAATATACCATGTGTGAAGATTGCATTTGTATGAAGAATCATGTTCTAGATCTAATTATTCGCTATGTTACTTATGCGCAACGCGATGATTGGCAGTATATGTGCTTTGCGGGAAAGTAGAAGCAAGGGCCTTGTTCATAAGTAGTGCGGCTATTACTCAAGTAAATACGGTATGTAACGTGTACGAAGACGAAGAAAACTGCATACAGTTTCGGGGAGGACGAACAGATGTCCACGATGATGGCGGTCAAGGAAGAATGTCTGTTGCAATTGACGGTCTTGTTGATATGTGGTGAAATGACTGGAAACCCCGGCAGTAAACTTTTTTGAGGTGGGCATTTAAAAGCTTGCGCCAGATTTTGATAAGTAACAAAATTTGTGTGGTGAATATGTGGAGAAATAGCCACAGTATGTATCCAATTTTTGTTTGGCCATATTAAAATATATTTCACTGCTCATTCTTTCCATCCAGCTTGTCGGAGGTTGAAAAAGGAAAACATTCCTCATACATTTGTTTTGCTTGTGGGTCTTGCGATGCTATTTGGTCAGGTTAATTGTTGAATTGTATTTAATTTGAATGACTCGTTAAGCTTAATGCAGTTATGCATCCTGAGCCTTGGCCTTGGTGGACCACAAATCTTTTGCCAGACACCTAAATTTAGCATCCCATGTTTTTCTTTGTGCTTAGGTTGAAAGAACGTCACGAGTTCCCTTCTACGATAAGCTAAAGACTGGTGATGCAAAACTAGCGGTGTGCATAAGATGTTGGCACTCTGCCAAACGGCTTGCTGCACCTCAAAAGCCCGTTGACATATGACACTGGCTAGTGACGCTGGTGACATCTGCCACTCCTAGCCAATGACTGGCGTGCAAATGGGCAAAGGATGGAAGACAAATTTCAGAGGTGTAGTTTCGATAAAATGCTTTTCGCGTATTAAAAAATGTGGTAGTTTCAGTTTGTACGAAACACACATTTTAAAACTGGGCGAATATGAAACCGTCCTAAGCATGCATTACTTTATGTAAGAATAGCATTTCTGAACTTCTTTCTTTTTGTCCACGGTATAAATTGGCACACGAGTAAAAAGGAGCAAGAAATAGCTTCAGTGCCAGACACCGCCCACTGTTTCTTTTTTACTTTTACTTTACTCTTAGTAAACTAAAGTTTACTATTTACTTTTACTTTTAGACCCTGAGAATGCAGCTTTGCACTCCATTTTCTCAGAGCTAAGATCTCTCCCAGATCATGTTGCATGTGCATCCTTCACTTCTACAAGGATACAACAACAAAACTTTGTCCATTTCTTTCATGCGAGACGGTAAGTGCGTGGCCTTAAATGGGTGTCTAGAGCTACCTTAAAGAACCGTATTTGCCCAAAACTATCATTTTCAGTTTTCCCTTAAAAACTGAAGGCAATTTCTCGGGCACCATGATCGAAACATCCACAAAGCCCCAAGTACACGTCGTGCCACTGAGCTGTATAAATTGCCTCTAGCAATGAGCATTGCGAGACATACTTTAGAAAAGTTCCGCGACGTCGCGGTTTACCCCAAACCCTTCGTGCACTCCCTTCGTCCCTCGTCAAACCGGAGCTGGAGAGGCTCTTCAGCCTTGGAATCGCTGTAAAGAGCCTACGCCTCCTAGACAGCCAAGGCCTCTCCTAAAAGAGGCAAGCACGAGGCACAGATCAGACACGAGTGCTGTGTCGACGTCCAGCTGGGACTAGTGTTCAATCTGAGCCCTGCGTGGGCTTCCTTAGGGTGACGCCGAAAATTCAGCGATTCAGCTACGGCGCCTGGCACGTGATTTCGGCTAGTGCGTTCAGCGTCCCATTCCACCTGTGCGTCGAAAGTGGTCTCAAAGTGGCAACAAAGGGCATCAAAAAAGCCGGAGGGCTACGCTGTTGGAAAGGGACCTGCTGCAGAATGGTCGTCTGCCACATCCATCCCCCACTGCTTTGACGCTTTCATAACGTCATCGAGCAGAAATCGAGGGGCCACTTTTTTGGATGCGGTAAACAGACCAGGCACCATATTATGGCCTTGCTATTTAGGAAGAGTTCAACGAGCCCAGTCCATACAAGTTCCGTTCGGCGGATCTAGAGAAGCGGCCGTGCCAACTCACCCATGAGCGACGACTGGTCCACATTTGTGGTCAGGATGTAGACCTGCAGGAGCAGCTGGGGAACGGACTCGAGGAAGGATTCTATGAGGCGCAGCACGGCCGCATCGTTGTCCTCCCACAGCATGAGCTGGTAGTAGACCCTGCGCTCTGGCTTTGCGCGCTTCTTGTCTTGGCTCCGAATGCCGAAGACGAGGGAACTCAGGTACCTGGAAAAGGGTTTGGACTACGCTCTTAGATGACATTTTAGTCCTTGAGATTCGCGGGATGTCAAGGTCCTTGAAATCCTGACGGCACAAGGATCTCGAGATCCCTGAGCTATCAAGCATGGATTATGTCGATGTGAATGAGATGGCGTCCGAAGTGTTGATGTCACCTCAAGGACGGATGTCATCCGAGGATGACATCAGGAAAATGGATGACATGCATACTTGAGAAAAACTGTCTTAGCTGACAGGTTGCACCAATTCCTTGCCACGAGTGGAAAAGGTGGGCTTCGGGTCATGACTGGAGCTTACTATCAGCCATGTTTTACAAATCAGACATCTAATTATAAACTATGTACTGTGGGAAGCTCAGACCGTGCCTGGTTGTGACATGGTTAGAATGTTTTGGGACTTGCTGAGTCTTGCTATTTGATGCAAAAAGAAATTAGCTGTTTTCAAACATTTCTGTTAAGAAAACGACAAAAGGCGGTGTTTGTGAACACAAGGAGACAAACACTGCCCTCTACCATTTGTCCAGTAACTGGTGCCCATAAATAATTTTTCAAAAGTTCCTGGATACGACAGATATTAAACTTTATCTGAAAAAATAATTTAAAAAAAATTTAGAGCAATATTTGCCTTGCAAAAGACACATTTTGAGTCAGAAACCATTATGAAACGAGCATCTATTTCAAGATATAAACACCAATATAAAAGCACTTTTGTAGTCACTCAAATTAGTCTCACAATGCAAACACTGCTATTTAAGGGAAGTTTATTTTGTAACATGTTTTTTTTGGAGTTCAGTGTCCCTCTAACGTTTCTGAAAATTGCTCCAATTTTTCTTTAATGAGCTTCTGCAGCACATTGTTTACTTTTCTTGGAAATGCCTTATAACCTCAAGCAAAGTCCTTTGTATGGAAGCTGTTTTCTAACATCCAGAAATAGTGGGTGCTACACTTTTAATCTCTTCTCTTATGGCATTCAGTCCTTTAATGGGTGCCGACATGCATATATATTTATTAATAATACTCTGCTGCATACCTTTGCCGAAATCGGCTTTTAACAATCTATACCTCATTAGTTCCTTTTTAAATACCTGTTTCTATTTTCACCCCAGAACCGTAGTAACAAGAAAAAAAGGGTTGGCTCGTAGAATATTAGGCATCTTAATTTTTTTTCCTTCCAACAACCAGATTTCGTGAACTTTGTGCAGCATATGAACTCTGTGCAAAGTTTGTGTTTTCATTCAAGGTGACAAGTACAGATGGATTGCACTTGTTACTTTTTGGGGAAAGTATCCAGTGATGCCCAACTAAAGACAATACGGTATATTATCAGCAACTTTCTGTTAATGGTAGTTCTTCAAGTGGAGTTTTCTTTAGAACCCTCCATAAATAAATACTTTTTTTATATATAATTTCAGACAGTATCTGTAGACACAAAACAAATTATATATTTAAAAAAATCTTCATACTCGCCTTTAATATTAGCACACAAATGGAAGCTATGTGCAACTCGTACAAAATAATTTCCGGCCTTGCACCGCATAAAGGGTGGCAAGGAGCTGACTGTTAGTTCGTCCAGTGAGCACTACACAACTTCTGCCTGGGAGTGACCAAAACATGCAAGCCCGCTGCTCTCAACGTGTCGGTCACATTTCAGTTCTTATTGTGGAGATTAGAAATGTGCCCAAGAAAGCATTTTCCACCTGGGACAAAGTGTTAAAGGGATACTGAACCGAAATTTGGATTTCGCAAAATAAGGCTGCAGAAGCGTTGATCGGGATGCTACAAACTCCAAAACATTACTCATACATCATTATCTCAAGCGAGGGCTATGACGTTACGATCCTCCTGGAACAGTTGAGAATAAGGGGAGGTGGCCTCGCTTCTCTCCTCCTTGCTTTTGTTCACCAGCTCAACAAGACGAAGCGAGGAGGAGAGGGAATAAGAATCGTGACATGCCTTGTCTCCTCAACCGTGTTCAATGGCGCACTTCTTTTTCAAAAATACGGCGATCCGTTAGAGATATTGTGTATGAGTTGTTTTTGGGTTTTGCAGCGTCTTGTCTATCAGTCCAGCCTTGTTTTGTGAGCTCGAAATTTTGGATTAGTATCCCTTCAAGCAACAAAGCTAGGTTTTCAATTGCTTTTGGACACATTTTCCGAATAAAACTGTGTCCTGAAAATACAGGGTGCCAGAACTTAGAACCCTTTTGCTATACACCTGAACGTCAAGTCACTACAGTGACAATGGCAGCCAGTGTGACTGACATGGAAGGCTTTCGGAGAGACAAAGTGAGTGATGACGTCTGTTGTTCTGCATGACTGCTGACGTATCCAGTGCATGTCCAAGAATATGTGCAGCATTCCATTCAAAACCCCTTTTTCATTTTTCACAATACTCAACCTACGTCACACAAACGAGTTTTCAGTGACAGCTACTGCCATTCCATACCGCCACCGATACTATGATCGTTCTGGACCGATGAATGAATCGATTGAAGATACCGTTAAGCATGCATGGGAAAGCAAATGTTGCAGATCTTGCTAATCAGACAGAAATGGTTTGTGCTTTCTGAACACTAGGGATTTCTTCTGAACACAAAAATGTTTCACATTTGGTTTAAATCGTGGGCTTTAAAACCAGGTCCATAGGAACCTCAGGGGTACCCCAGAGAGCCCTCAGCGGTCCCCTCGAGCTCCCCCATTTCTTCCGTCGTCCTAGCCCCTCAGTAACCAGTTATTTCAAGATCCGAACTATCTATTCATTCAAAACTATATTAGTGTCTACCTACAGTTAGTTTCACTTCCTAGCGAGGCGAAGCCACAGACACCAGATATATGTTGCCCTGAACGATGCTTGCACTGCACGAGCGCGCGTACTTTGCAGGGACGCTAAAGTGAAGGCCTGGAGCTTGCTCTTGCAACTTCAGGCTACGTAAAGTGAAGCGGAGTACGGTACGTTCATTACTGTTAACAGGGTCCGCAATACGATCTACGCAAAGTACCCAATTAATCGAGAAAGAGAGATGCGTTCCTCGCGATCTCAAACTCCCGATCTTGATATGCGAGCTGGAAATCCGATTCAACCTCCCGGAGTTAAAAGCCGCATGCTCCCCATGCATGTCATCGAGATCGCGCGGAGCGGTCACTGACACTCGACGCGCCGGCCGTCGGCCAGTTTCAGCGGCCCACGTTTGATCTCACCTGTACACGATGGCCAACTGGAAAATGTGCAGGGTGACCGCGAGCCAGAGCCTCTGCCTGTACTCGTCGTACTCGGAGCGCCGACCCTGGATCACGCACCACTTGAGGCTGACCGACGTGACGACCCACGACGGGACTAGGATGAAGACGACGGTGAGGCCAAAGTACAGCAGGTTCCCGCTCTGGAGGTGCCTGTAGGCGACCCAGACGTCGATGAACACGTCCGCGAACACCGTCACGATCGAGATGACAAGTAGCGCGGCGTCGAAGCGGGTGAAGGACAAGGACTCGGAGACGGCGTCGACCGTGTCGCCCTTGGTCCGGAATCCGTCCATTTTCATGGCGAACGAGTGCGAGCTTGCCGGTGAACTCGGCACGGCGGCGGCGAGCATCCGAGAACGATTATCGGCGGGGATTTAACCGCCGTTCACCCCACTCCCGCCACTGTGAAGAATAAAATAAACGAAAGGACGACACGAACAACCAGTCCCTCTTCCCCGCGTAGATTTATGCTACTGTTGTTGACATTTGTTTGCTTTGTTTCGGTGGATTGGGAGGAAGAGGAGGAACAGAGCGGAAAGCGAGGAGGTGCAAGAGCAAGAGAGGTGCTGAACTTCCGGAAATGACGATACTCGCTAGCAGACGACATCACCTGCTCATAGCCTGTAGTGCCTGTAGCTACTTGTAGGGCTTGCGGGGCTGTTATACGGCTTGAGAATTTAATAAAGGCTTTATTAAATTGATTACGATAAAACGTAAAGATCGTACAAAAGTGTGAGACGGCTAATTTGGCAACCACTGATCAGTGGTGGCAGCTGGCCACTGTCGCTACCATTCGTGGCGAACGTTGACCTGCGATATGTAACCCAGGTAACTATAATCTTCCACTAAAAATAAATCTTGTTGAACGACTATATCAAATATTATATCTTCACCCTTTGACGGTTACGCCTTTGCGTTGATTTATCGGGTTCATCGTTCATCAATGGCTCTAAATGGAAACGTAGTTTGGTAGTACAGTTCTGCCATCTAGCGATCACAGCACGAAGCTGTGCTCACCGTCATGTTTCACTGCCGCCTCCATCCATCCGCAAATCATCGACGACGATCCGAGGAGAACGGAGCAACGGAGAGGCCGGTGGGGCCGGACGGGTCATCGAACACGCAACAATCTCGTGTGCGCGTGCGAGCGTAAACAGATGTAGGACATCCCGGTGCTCCTAGTCTTCCCACATCGTGCCACGGAAACCGCTCGATTTCATGGCACTCGGCGAACGCCACGATGGGACGGGACTTTCAGCAAGACCCCGACCGCGACCCGAGGTGCGGAGAGGACCTGCCGACGCCAGCGCGTTCCTCTGTCCGCTCGTCGTTCAAGCTGCGTCGCTACACGATCCTCGACAGTCTGTGCGTCCTCTGTTCTGTCGGCAGCTTCCTTTTCGACACCGGCTCGGACATTTGGGTGGCGTACCGGCACTACAAGGACGGTAGCTTGTGGTACTTCGGCCTGACCGTCGCCTTCATCCTGGTACCAGCCACCATCATGATGTGCTTCAGCTTCCGCTGGTACCTGCTTGACCTGAAACTCAAGCTGGGGACCCATCCTTCGAAGGTGGAATGGTGCATCCGCGCTGTCTTTCACATCCTCCAGTTAGGGCAGGTGGTCAGGTGAGGCTGCAGGTTCGGATAACACCACTTGAAATCCGTCTGTGCTCGCTAGATTGTTGACGTCATCACGGTGAGACCGAGCGCAGACACGGATTGGATACGAGTGCCGCGTCATCGTTCGGCTGCGCCTCGTATCCAATCAATGCGTCGAAGGACGTTTGGCGTCAGGCTCGGACCTAATTGCCGAGTTGACGCCAACCTAGAGTGATGACGATCCATAGAGGGAGAGGAGGCTGTTCGACGGCCTTGATTATTGTAGGTGGTGTTGGCTCAGATTGGTGTCATTGATGGCATCGGCCACTGTCCAAGCCTGAGCTGATAGCCATGGAAGATAGTTGCGCTTCTTGTACGCTCACACCAATTAAGCTGTTTAGTTCGGAGCACATTTATTTTGCTTCAGCTCGAAATCATGTTTACGCTCAGTTTACCTAGTTTTCACAAATGAATGTATGCCAAGATGCACTAATGAGTAAAGTTCTGCGTCCTCGTTTGGTGCCAGCCTGATGCTTGCGTCGTCGGATGATGGCGGCAGTGTCGTCCGTGTATGTAGAGAGTTTGGCCGTTCATTGGGAAGTAGAGGAGACAAATAAAAATAAGGAGGCACCATTGGCCGAAAGCGGGCTGGGTGTGTTCCAGGGTGTCTTCACAAATTCGAATGTGGTCAACCAGAAGCCAGAAATAATACCCTGGCGGTAGTCGCGAGAAACAAATTTAATAAGTGTGTCAAAGTAACTCTCGGTGACTGAAAATATGGTGCACGTGATTTTTCAATCACGGTCATCCAAAATCATGGTGGAAGAGTGTGACTTGCGGAACAATCAACATAATCCGTACACCAGGCGTCAAGGGCCGGGAATCTGCTGTTCGAGCGGTCACACCCTGTCCGAGCAAAACAGACTTCGAGCTGCACATTTGTTTCTTACATCTTTCTGCATGATCATGATCAAAACATCACAAGCACCCTATTTTCAGCCATGAAGGGTTACTACATTTAACTCTTACGGGCTTGTTAAAGCAATTAAAACCGTTTCTTGCTACCACCGCTAGGGGATTCTTTTCGGCTTCTGGTTGGCCAAAAGAGCATCCCAAGCCCTCTTTCTGCGTCTGGTGCACGCCCTGGCATACCCTGGCTCTGCCCGTGCCTCCCATTGACCAACTCTCTCTGTATGGCTCTGGATGGCGACTCAAAGCTCTGGGAGGTTTCGACGGGACGCGAGCACCGAACGACTCTACCTCTGGTCGGCGCAACACGCTTATCTAAGGATCGCGGCTGTCATTTCTTAGAGACACGCTATTGTCACCGACAGGATGAGAACAGCAGGGCATCTCTCTCGAATGTCCAGTCTCCAGCACTCGCTCGTGGGAGGACTCCCTGCCTTTTTCACACTGTCACTGACTATAGTGCTTATCAGAAAGTGAAAGATGCTGATGCCGAGTCTGGCAGTTTTTTGCAGTCTGTGTTTGTTCTGCGGATGCACGTTCCGTCTTCCCTTTTGCATGGACAGGTACGTGGACACGCTCATCTACGGCCTCAAGAGCAACCGCAACAAGTCGGAGCAGCGGGAGTTCTACCGGCGGAGTGCGGAGGAGGACGTGGATGCCAGCATGCTGCGCCTCTTCGAGTGCTTCATGGAGGCCACCCCTCAGCTCATCCTGCAGATCTGCATCTTGGCCAGGGACTTCCCGCACCAAGAGGAGGACTTTTGGACCGGTGAGTGACCTCGGGTGTCCTTGCCAAAACCATGAGCTTGTTTTTTGTGTTTTTTTCTCTGCTCGTCATGCACTCTAAATTCTGTTTTACCTTACATCCGACCACGGCGGAGGCTACGAGCCGTCCCAACCAATCTAGCCCTGGGAATGTAGCATGTAATACGCTCTCGATAATAAAAATGCGACCCGCTGCGAGCAGCTGCTCCTTAGCGGGCCGTCAGCGGGTTACCGATTGCTAAAGCAACCTTGGGCCATGACGTCACGTTCATTCTCTTTTTATGTTACCCCGATCCGGACGGGCTTGCCCATTGTGCGGTCTAGCGGCGTAAAGTGCGCTTCTTTGAGACACTACCGCCGCTACTTCAGCTGGTGCTTGGCGTGTTTAGCCGTTGCTTTTATCTGTAGCCCGTGTAGCTTCGGTATAGCCTTTTGTTTATTTGCTTGTAAGGACTCCAAGGCTCGTTTTAGCGAGGATCTCAGTACGCACTCGCACGCATCGTGGTGTCAGACAGAAGCACTCTTCCTGCAAAGTTTGTCAGCAGGTGGCAGTGAGTCATGTGCATATGGGTTAAGCCTCCAGCTATCGTCGTCTTCGATGTCCTCACTAAATGACGTGTCTGCTGAAAAAAAAAAAAGAAGTTTGCTCAGTTTGGAAATCGGCACATGACCTTGATGCGGGGATTCAAAATCAAGCGCTTTATTTATCCGATATGGAAAAAGGAGGCTGAGATTAAAAAAAAGCAACATTTGTGGGTTGTCGATATGCATTCTGCATTAAACTAGTGAAAAGGATGATTCCAGCCGAACCACACTGAAGATGTAAGGTAAAACATACAGTCAACACAGCAATGAACTTCGCATTACTGGGTGGCATGTCTTACACAAAAGGTAAACATGATAAAAGTATCCAGATCAATAAAGCAGTCATTGTAAAGTGCAGCATTGAACATGGAACATTCTCACTCCGTTGAATGGGGAATGGTGGGCATGTGGACTACAACCACTAACTAGCTCCAGTCACGAGTTTTTTGTGTGTTTCTTTTGTGACTTTTGAGTTCAGCAAGTCTTTTCTTTGATATTTTTACAAATTAGATCTACCACCTAGACAAACTTATGCAGTTAATTACAGTGTTGTAACTTACAAACTCGCTTTTTACGCACCTGAGGAAAAAAAAAACTAATAAACAAACGTTTACAGCCCTGCACACAAATGTTCGGACGCCGCGGCCCGCGCCGGAGAGCCCCAAAGCTTTGTGTGTGGGACTGACCCCCAGCGCGAAAGCGAGAAGCCTAGGTACAAGTACGGACACGTGCACGCACGGCGCAATGCCTGCCGCGCGCGCGTTCCACCGCTCATACAAACAGCAAAAAAATATCGGGGTATTTTGCCGCAAAAAGTTACTTCCGCCATTTAGCGATATAAACGACTATGGTATTGATTTTGGCGTACGCCATAACCAGTACCGTAGTCGAAGTGGAGGGGTAGTGAGACTGGCGTCCTACACTGGCACCGACCAAGTTCACTCGCCTGTCAGTCGCTAGCTTTTGGCTATACGCTCTAGCTATTGCTACATATGCTGGATATCTACCTTGTATACAGAATTAAAACAAAAGCAGCTTACCTTTTACCTTTAAATGGCTAGCGCCACAGAGGCAGGTGCCGCTTGGACCTCGTACTCGTTGAACGAGAACGACAGTGACGGCAAGTCCGCCCAGCGGCTGATTTCCAGTGTTGCCGGGGCCTCGAGCGGCTAGTTTCCGTTTTGTCGACCGCGCCCCAAACAGAACTTTGAGGCGTCGATATCTTTAATACTATGCACAATACCGAGAAAAAAAATTACACCTTGTGATTCAGGAACGCTGACTGCGCTAAAAACAGTCAAAATCCCAAAATCAAACTATGAACTGGAGTTGCCCTTTAAAGGAATACTGAACCGAAATTTGAATTTTGCAGCATAAGGCTGCAGAAGCATTGAGCGGGACGCTACGAACTCCAAAACATTACTCGCACATCGATATCTCAAACAGATGGCCATACTTTTGGAAAAGAAGGGTGCGATCAAGCAAGGGCTTTGACGTCATTGTCCCCCTGGAAAATTTGAGAATGAGGGGAAGCGGACTCGCTTCTCTCCTTATCCCTTCGGTTCACCAGCTTGACAGGACTTAGTGGGGAGGAGAGAGAATGAAAATTGTGACGCCATCGGCCGTGTTCATTCGCGCACTTGTTTGCCAAAAATACGGTGATCCGTTAGAGATATCGCTGTATGAGTGATGTTTTTGGGTTTTGCAACATCCCGCCTATTCGTCCAGCCTTGTTTTGTGAGCTCAGAATTTTGGTTCAGTATCCCTTTAAAGGTTATTCTGGCAACATTCCACACCGTCTAGTGGTAGTCACAAAAATACAGAGGAAAAGAAACTTGGCTTAAAAGGCCGAAAGAAAAAAACACTCATGTTTTTCGTTTTTAGGCCAGGTGGCGCAAGCTCCACCCAATATAGAGGGCGCAGCCGTTAACGTTCATACACACATCCATCCACGCACCCATTTGAAGGCAGCTCAAGGATCTGCATGTGACGTACGAGATAGTACCAGGGATGCACTGCAAATGGCGTCGCAGGTTGCCACACTGTTTTGTGCCTGCTTTTTTGTGTAGTAGATATATTCTTTTGCATTATGTGTATTTACAGCCTTTGAGGCTGTAAATAGACATGTTGTGGGGAACACGTAGTGGGGAACAGAAGCATCCAAAGAAAGGCAAGATGGTGAAATTTCATCCACTTGCATTTGCTTGCGCCCAAGCTCTATGATCTCTTACGACGAGAGACCACACTGGCATGCTGGCATCGCCTATGAGGTGGCTGGCCCTGGAACTGCACTTCACTAGAGAGAAGGTTTGCAGCATTTGCAAAATCAAACATATGTACTGTCCATGAGAAATGGTCATTTATAACATTGTCAAAAGTTCTTTGAGCCACTGAAGAAAGTGTGATGCTAAAAAAGAAAGATAGCAAATATACCAAGCGTGTGAACCAGCCTTAATTCGTATGAGTCCCTGCAAGACCATTGGGTGCGTGCAGTATGACACAGACGTTGGCTCTAGAGCAAAGCTAGCCGACCCTGTACTGGCCAGTTCACAGCGGAATTCTCTTTTTACAACTACCTTACACACGTATGGGGAGGGAGGCAATTTGCTTTGCAGTAGAGTGCGCCAACACCAGAAAGAAATGAGAGGCGGTAACATTCCAGGGCCTTACGAACAGTGCCTCCCTGAAACACCATTGTGCATCTGAGTTATCTGCTGGCAACGTTGACTTCATAGCTGGCCTACGGTTGATACTATTTGACGCCCGACTTTGACGAAGTTAACATATAAAAAATTTTTTAGCCCTAAACACTATCGTGCGTAGAGTTAAAAATATCTAATCAGCAAGACAAGATCGTTTGCAGCATGAAAGGCATATAGATTTGCTGACAATCTTTTGGACTCAACGTCCAAAAAGTTTAGGCCAAAAAACAACTTTTTAAGGGGGAACATAAGTTTACGTTAAAAATTTTTGAAAAAATTCATTTTTCAATTTTGTAGGTTTTCGGTTTTAGAAACTAATTATACACCCTTACACTAAATTTCATAGCCATGCGCCAAATAATTACGTTGATATCAAATATTTTCAACACATTGTGAGGGAGTAACGAAGTAAGGAAGTTCAATGTTTGAATGCATTTTTCTCAGTTCCACTTTTTGCTGCAAATTTCATGCGAAGGAATCTTTTGTTCGAAGGTAAAAGTATATCGATACCACAATCAAGATCTTTCTGAACTGAAATTTACTGGGAAATCGGGCTATCTACTTTATTTTGTTTTAAATTAAAGTTCTCATTGAGAAAAAACTATGTTTTCAAAAATTGACTGAGGAGAGGTATGCATCTCATATTTTGAGGTGATCACTCTTTGTGAAGTATTTACATTTGATTTATAAAAACTAGATAGCTTGAGGTCCCATATCCTCCACTTTGTATTCAAGCAGTTAAAATGATGCTTAATAGTTTCATTTGCATATCATAGATGTCTTAACGAAGAGTGACACATCTTTTTATGCAGATATGTAAAGTTGTCCTAGAGAGCTGAAAGTTTGCACAGTGCACACTACATCTGAAGTTAAATCTCCCTTGCAAATTTCATTCCAATCACATGAGTAGTTCTGAAGTTCAACCTCTAGCCAATGTCTCCCCTTAAGCTCGACATGAATTGTACAAAAGTAAAAAAAAAATCAAGCAGTCGAAGACATTAACTTAGCGGAAAAAATCACATCATTATCACTCTACTAGCCAAACGGCTGATAAAACTGATTGTAAGTTTTCTTTTGCATGCCTTCACGTTAACCTGTATGTCGGCGAGGGTCATCCCCTCACTGTAGACTGTCGAATGTTATGCCAGGTCTTGCACCGGATTTATATTTGACACCTTCACTGTGGTCAACACGTCATCCTTGAAGCCGCTGTCTGATGGTGCAAGGGTCAGTCAACAGTATTTGCTTTGTTTTGGTGGGGCCCTCATTGACGCAGACAGTGAAGATGCAGTTTGCGAAAGATGACCAAACGTCCTGTTTTCGAGCTTTCGAGGCTCATTTCTACCCTCCCATCAGTTTGTCTCGATGAAGCCTCATGTACCGTGTTCATAGAAACGTGCATAGCTAAAAAATCTGAACTAAGCGAATGGAAAAAAACCGGAGTGTTATGCACATAATTTATAAAAAGGAACATACTATGAAAGTGTTACCTCCGATTGAGTACAATTTCAAGCTCTTTCTGTGGTTACGTCTGCAAATACATTTTGTTCCCATAGACGGGTGTATGGGAGACTTCTTCAATATTGGTGAAATTAGCTTGCTTCAGCTGACGTTTCTTAGCCAGGCTGTGTTCCAAAATGTACTCAATCTCACTTTAGGATAAAGGTTCTGTACCTTGGCGTTCGAAAATCTACCCGCATCCAGCATTTCTCTATCTGTTTTGCCACGTGACATGATCTGCCGGAATAGCTCGGATTCATTCAAGTAAGATCTGGAACACAGCCCCAGTGTTTCGGAATGGGAAGGAAAGACTCTTGTACTCTTAACAGAGAACTGCGTAGAAATGGACGTCTTTGCATTGAGCTGAACGGTACCAGAGTTCTTCCCTCTGCCTAACCCCCCCCCCCCCCCTTCCCCCTCTCAGATCACCTAAAGGGCACTAAATGGGGTGTCTCTCTCCTGCAGTTGTGGCCCAGAACGTTTCCATCGTGACGTCCCTGGTGTCGGTGGCCTGGTCCCTCGCCTCGTACAACAAGGCCCTGCGGCTGGTCATTGAGGACAAAGCCAACATGCGCTGGCGCGGGGCCGCGCTCTACTTCCTCTGGCGCCTCTTTGTCATCGTGCCCCGAGTCCTGGCCCTGGGCCTTTTCGCCTCCCTGTTTCCGCTCTTCATGTTCCTGGTGTGCGGGGTGCGCTGGCTTCTCATGTCCGCCTGGATCATCTCCATGAAGACCCAGTTCTACGAGAACAGGTGACGTCAAGCCTCCCGAGTTTGCTGTCCCCACGACTCAGATTTATCCTTGAAGGCTGGCTCACACATTTGCGTCTGACTTTGACCTAGTGTGTTACAATATCTTGTGACCGCTTAACGCGCTGGCACGCCGGTGCCGTCCATTGGGTCGACCCAGAACACTCCCAACTTGTGTGTAACTAGAAGACCGAAGGTTTTGCAGGATTTGCGAGGTCAAATTTATGCAGATCCGTTAAGGAGAAATAGCCGCTTATAACATTGTCAGAATTATTTCAAGCCCACGGTAAAATAATTTTTGCATAATAAAAATATATACACAGATCAGAAATGTCTTGGGGCTACTCGACAGATGGTACCAGTGTGCTGGAGATCACAATACAAGAGATCACAGTCAAATGCAGATCGGTGACCCAGCCCTTACTCTGACTCCTCCACAACCTTGACCCCCTACAGCAGTGGTTCTCAAATGGGAGCCTACAGACTCTTTGGGGTCTCTGAAGGCCTTCTCGGGGCCCTCCAAAGCTTTAGACCAGTCATTCTCAACCCTCAATGTTTTGGGGACCCTATCCACCTGGGGGAAGGGGGGTTACTAGATGATTACGATGACAGAAGTCAACTTTGAGGCCATTTGAAGCTCTGAAACGGAGAGTAATCCACCCTACTCACTCGGCACACTTGGTTTGGTCTAGTCTTTAGCTATGTGAGACAGCCAGCATCAATAAAAAACTTTAATCCTTTCCGCTCTGGTGAAGAAGGAAGACCAGCGGAGCTGTACAATGGAAAGTAATGGCCAGCCGCAAGTCGGCAAGCCAGAGTGGAAAGGTTGCCACCATCTTTAAGTGACGGCGGCAAGCAGATACGTGGCTTGCTGCCGTCGCTCTTAGATGGCGGTAGGTGTCCAAAGTTCGGTGTCTTCATTTTTTTGCGGGGGACACGATCCTGAGGAAACTAGCCCTTAACAGCTCCGCTGTAAAAGAAAGTTTTATTGCTCAGCTTGACTGACAATTGATGACCTTGAGGGACCTTGGGGACCCTAAGGTCTTCAAGGTCATCTATTGTCAGTAAAGCTGAGGGTTCACAGACCCCTGTATGTAAAGCACTAATTTAAACTACAACTTTTTTTTTTTTTGTGCTGGCTGTTTTTTTTAGGTTAGTATCTGTGACAATAATGACAATAATAATCCCTTGAGGAGGGGAACTGTTATAACCATCTGTGAGAAGGGTTGATTATTCTCTTTTTCAGAGCTCCAACGTTGGTTTGCATGCAATTAGTTTCCTTAATTGACCCTTTCGTCAGTGTCGTTGTCTAAAACCCCACTCCCCTCCAGTGAATGGCGTCCCTTGTCACTTCCGCCGATCTAGAAGGGGTCCTCGAGACATCAGTGGCTGAGAACCACTGTTCTACAGGTCAAATGCTTCCCCAGCTGAGACACTTCTGTAACTGCACTCGCCTTCGCCTTACGGCAAACCACAGAGGACGCTACAAGCCATCGAAGCCATTCCAACGTCGTGTGTGCAACGTGTCCTTCGGAGGGAGTGCAGCGTTGCGCGGGTCGCACAGCTGTCAAGCGACATGTTCACAGCGCTGAGTTGGCTGACATGACTCGTAGCATTTGTGGCAGTTCATCCTAAGGTAAAGTGGAGCATATAGACCACCTTTGCAGCTCGGGCGATTTCAAAACGCAGAAGCTACCATAACCCTGACCGTCCGTAGCTCAGATGCTTCCGTAGCTCAGACCCCTCCCCAGCCCCGGCACCTCCCTGACTCGGACGTTCCCTGCAGTTCATTGCAGATGCTTGAGCTGGGTTGCTGTCAGCGTAATGCTGCTTGCAAAGGCTCCCAGGGAATGTAAAGTAAAGGTTGCAAAGTTTTAGTCTGTGTGGTGTCTGGCAGGCATAAAGCTCAGAATGTTTTTCCTAGCTCTAGGGAGTAGTGTTCACTGGCAGCCATGTCTAAAAGCTCTTTAGGTGCGTGCTGACAGCGAGCGTCTGCCAGATTTCTTTCGCACCGTTAAAACCGTTGTTTGTGGCAGGCGATAAATTGCTTCACCCACAGCTCATGCTGGTGATACCTCAGTACCTATACCTCGTACACCTAGAAAAAATAAAGCTCAGGTATGAACCGAGTAAATCTTCTGTTTGGTCGAATGCGACTGCATTTTTGATGCTCGACTTTGCTGTCTTCGCAGCTGGACCTGAGAAGTCCGAAAATTGCAAAGTTTGCGATTTTCGAGTGTAGGAGGTATGGGAAGAGTTAGCTTCCTTTCAATTTTTGTGTTCGACCAGCAAGAATAGTTATGTTTATTGGGGACCACTTAGGTAACTGAGTGTTGATTGTGTTAGTTTTAGCAGTGCTTGCTGCACCCTCTTTCAGATTTTTGAGTATTAAGTAGGGATGTGCGAATATTTGGAATTTTGAATACAAATAGGATATTTTCCATATTCAATTCGAGAATTGCATATTTGGAATTATCCGAATATTCGGCCATAGGCAGATAATCGAAGACTATGAATATGTGGACAAAACTCTGAATATTCGTGTAAAAGAGGATTAAACCCGCATGCCCTGAACATTCTGAAGTATCTCAGAATGTTTATTCATTGAAATCCACACACAATGCCTTCTTTATCTGTTCTGTATCGGCTCTGTTGCCTTTTTGCACGAAACTTTTATCTGTCCCACAAGGCAGCAGTAGTTTTGGTTTCTTATTTTTATCAAGCAAGTTGTGTACAATTTTTTTTTCGCAATATACATTATGTATGCTTTGCAGAATAAAAATAAGCAAAACAATAAGCTTATCTTGAGAATGTTTTTTTTTTTCAAAATATTGATAAATGTTTTGGAATTAAAGAGAAAAAGGTATTAGAACATTGCATTACCATAGACAACAACTCAACTACCGGACAAGATAACTGCCACTGCGTTTTGCGCTTTGTTTGGCAATTTGTCAGCCGCGCTAGCTGCTCTAGTTAATGTTGGTACTGTCCCAGTTCAAACGTGTTCTCAGAGAATGGCCTCAGCCGCAGTTGACAAGCAACTGAGCTAGCAAGGAGTGAAAGCCGTAAAATGTCTTCTCTGGCAGTACCACACGAAACACTCGCCGTTGACTGCTCAGTGCGTGCAAAGGTGTTCTTGAAACGCCCATGGGAACAATTGCAACACTCCGAAACCACCTGAAACAACAGCCCTTGTTGATGGAAGAATATAAAAAAGATGCTTCGAGCAGGCCATTGGGGAGTCAATCGACACAACAATATGGTAAATATTCAATTCAACATTCGAAGTTAGTTTTTTTCGGGGTGTGCGACTATTCATATTTTTGAATATGAATCGAATACAAATAGTTAGCTTCGAATACTGAATTGAATATTGAATAGTTGAAGGCAGGTGCATTTGTTCACAGCATTTTTATTTTCACATGTCGGAACGCCTCACTGGTGTTAAAGAGAATAAAAACACAAAAACAAAAATTCTAGTTGTAGGGAAGAAGATTGGAAGTTGTCATACAGAAAATTCAAGTGCTGCACATGGTCAGGTAGGAGACGCTACTGTCGGGCGGAAACAACTCTTCCTGCCACAGAAGAAACTCTCTCACTCGGCACTGAAGTGGCAGCTATTGCTAGGTATTTGATGCAGAGCTTTGCCAGACTGAGATATCTTCAGCACCCGACAGTTTGACACCACTAATATGGATCAATCTCTCTCTTTAGTAGTGCTTGCTCCAGCTTCAGAATGGGAAGTTGCACTGCAACTTCCCATTCTGAAGCTGAAACTGCTTGTCTTTCCACTGCACTTTTGACTAAGTGGTCAAATGCTTGCCAAACATCTGCTGACGGCATAGAGCCTTGCTCTTGTCTCTGTGTTGTAGCTTCCAGCTTGGTTTTTTCAGTAGCAGCACATGAGGCTAGCTCTTGCAGCACCAGATCTTTTAGCCATGATAATTTTAGTTTTTCGGCTTTAAAAATAGTGGACTTGAAGTGTGGCTCCAAGAACATAGCAAGGCATGCTCCCTTGTCCTCCTCATACAGAGTGAACCTTGCCTTGATGGACCTTATCAGTTCTGCGGGAAATTCTGATGCCCCAGCAGAGTTACCTAGACAGTGGAGCATACCAAAAATCATAGGAACTTGGGAGGACGATGGATACTTCTAAGCACTGGCTGTTTTGTGCGTCTTTTTTATAGGAGACCCACGAGGCTACACACTTACTGAACCGCCATGTTTATTGTCCCCCCATGATGATGATAGCACTTCGAAACCAAAGTCAAAACGAAACTATAACATATTGTAACAGTGGCACCAAACAATGACTTCAATGCTTGTACATAATCAAAAGCATCTTTCTACCCTGATGGACCGAGTCCATCGATGTCACAGTCCAAGGTAGCAAGCTCCACAGTGAGTGCTCCTTTGAGATCCGGAAGACGAGGCAACATCAGATACTGGCTATTCCATCTCGCCTCCACCTCGTCTCGCATCTCGTCTTGCACCAGACGTAGTGTGTCCTTTCCCATCTTCTTTTGGCTTTCCTCAATCCTTTTTTGGGCTGATGAACTGTGGTGTAATGTCCCACAATATATTCCTCACTTTCTTGCACAGGCGATCAATGGCTGGCGTACGGGATCTCGCATCATTATTGCCAGTTGAAGCGTATTCGCGAAGCATGCTCTTTCAGTCCACGAAAGTCTCCTTACTGCGGTACGAATCTTGCGCCCATTATTTGTTACAATGAACTTCGCACATCCATCGGGTATCTCCCAGTCACGGCATATTTCGCCCAGCATAGTTCCAATGTTCACAGCACCGTGACCGGCAGCCATGTATCGAGTGTTCAATGATAACCGCTTCATCATGAATTTTGAAGTGAGAAGATCGCAGGTGAGCCTCACGTAGCTTTCGTTAGCGTGCAATGTCCACATGTCGCTTGTGAAGGCAGCAGCGGTAGTGCCGCCTTTGGAGGCACTGTGGAGCTCTGCTTTCACCTTCTTTCAGGTTTCATGCATGAGAGTGTAGAGTGCGATGGTAGGGGATGGTTGGGAACAGCTTCTGTCGGAAGTTCTTTGAAGCCGTGGTCTTCCAAAACGCTGTAAAGCTGTAAATCGAGCGCCACCATGGCAGTCACTTTGTTATGTAGCGCTCGCACCCTCTTTTTTGGCGCACAAAGTCCGTCAACGTCGGTTGACCTTTTCCTGGCGTACCAGCGGTAATCCCACAATACCCTTTCAAGAACGCTGAGTGTAGTTTGAGATGGTTGACAAGGGGCGTTGTCGTACCTGTGGGCATCTGAAACGTTGACTCACACGTCGTGCATTGTGCCATCGATGCCGTCACCCCTGCAAAATATTTTTAAATAGCACCCCTCTCTCTTCGTTTTGGTGCCGTTTCCCGTTCGTTCCTCCGCTGCGCAGACGGTTCACTGCAATCGCCTCTGTCCGCCATAACACGGGTGGGCAAACGCGAAAGTGCACGCAGTTTAAAAAGTCAGGAGTCACAAGGGAACAGAAACTATACACCTTTCCAAGAAACACTTGACCCCAGGGGCAACAAACCGTTTTCGAGCCAAGTCACTGGGTTTGAGGCTAGACTCTCACCATCGGCGTCCCTGCTAACGTTAACCGAGTGGACTGATTTTTGCTAGGCACAGCCTGCATAGGCGCAGTTTCAAACACTGCTGGCGGCTAAATTCTCGTCTTTTCCCACTGTATTTTGTGTTTCATGGTGTATGTATTTTTCCGAGGACATTGAGAAAGCGTTCTACCAAAATTAAAAAAAACAAAAAAGCACCTATTTTTGTTGGGTACACGCACGACAGATTGAATGCAACTAGAAAGTTTTGACAGCGCCGCCCGATTAGCCGCGTGTCAAACGACAAAGCGCTTGGGTGTCGAAATTAATTTACAACAAAAGATAGCCAAAAGGCATGCATTTTTCAGGCTCACAAATAACGTGTTTACCGATGGACAGGACACGGACATACAATTTAGCAAGTGTTAACATTCAAACAATAGATTGTATGTACCACACAATGCAGCGTTATCAAAAAATAATTTATTTGAGAAAGATCTCAAATAACACAGTCATAGTCGAGGACAGTCACATCTTGACGATCGGACGGAATCCAAGATGACTTCGTTTGGGGCACGTATTGGGAGAGCTTCCTTTTTTCACACCAGCACCAAGGCGAAGGAACGAGCTCGACTCACTCCAACCCAAACAACTATTTTTGGCCATGACTGAGAAGGACTCTACGCGGGGTATCTCTGGGAGAGGGGAGAACAGTTGTCATTGTTCGCAAACTCGCGTCGAGGGCCGTTCGATGTCCCTCTCCTCCATTGCTTCCTGTGAACGTCGAGCAGAAACGCTTGAATGGCAGGCACTTACCAGCCCTATTTCTCACAGTGGAAGGTAGCACAGAAAGGGTACACAGCATGCATCAGAGAAGTTAAGTGGAAACTTTCAGGAGGGGCCAGGAAACGTTGAGTGCCAACCGCAAAACATTGGTAGAGAATCACGCTGAGCGGGTTTCCACAGCCCAAGAGAGTGGCAAAAATTTCTAGCTGATAGGAGCCGCGTTTTTTTGGAAAGGTGTAGTATTGCCCTGGACTGCAGATTACCGCAGATTACTGACATCGACGCCACCAGTTTAGGTTTAAGCCGCCATGCTGCTATGTCGCTGTCGATGGGCCTTTCTTACCGAAATCGAAAGCAAAACTTGCGCTCGTGAATAAGTTCTCGATTATTCAGTTAGTTTTGAATATTCATACTGCAACAAATATTTGAAAAATACCAAAGACTTAGTGCACGAAGTGAATACAAATATTAAATGTATAGTATTCTATTCATCAAAATTTCGAAAATTCGCCCACCCCTATTTTTTTCCCTACTGTAAAATCCCGAGACAGAGCCTACCTAACATCAAGAGCAAATCGGCTGAGAATATGGAGTGGGCTAACTTTCAGTGTACAATTAAGAAAAGTTTTAAAAAACTGCTATTTTTAGGTCATGCCCTTCCAAGCTTGTTATGGAGGCAGGGGGCAGCGAAGCAAAGGTGACTGTACTTCCAAGTCAGCAATGTTCGCTTATATCCCACCATAGCAAACTAGCCACATTTACGCCGAGGCCATCACTGATCCCAACACTACTCTTACTAAGAGTGGGCTAGCTTTCACTGTTTAAAAATATAGCAAATCAAGCCAAAAAATAAAGGTGGGCTATCTTTCGGGGCTGGGGCATCTCTCGGGATTTTACGGTATTCATTATCGACTCACATTCCAAATATTTTAAAATTCGCACACCCCTAATAAATATGGCTCGTTGCATCACAAGGTATGTGGGAGAAGCTCTGCACCCCCCCATTTCTGTGGAAAATAACTCTATTCAATTAAAACTCACCACTTTCCAAGTGTCATAGCTTGAGGCGCTGCAAGACATGCTTCTGTAACCACATATACTTGCTACAAAATTAATAGTGTCACGAATGAACAGGCGAGGAAACAAAGAATAACTGGGGAAACTGAAACATTCAATGGGGCAAACTTGTGCCAAAAAATAAAAAGGAAACAGAAGATTACAGCGGAGCGTCGAAGTCGGCGTAGCAGCAGAGTGGAACGCTGGGGCGAGACTGACTCCGTCTTGGCTCGCGGAGTCCCTTATGTACGTGAGTGGGATTCTGGAACAATCGGCGTAGAAGGTTCGGCACGGAGAACATTCGGGCCTCGAACAAGCAACAGGATTCTCGAATTTACCAGAACACGAAATTGCAAGAATAAATAAAAGAGACGTCCTCCCAGGAATCGAACCCTGACTCTCCATGTGGAAGGCAAACATGATAACCGTTAGGCCACGGCCGCGCTGCCTACTTGGCCAGCTGCGCGCGCGGCAATATCATGTATTATATTATAAATTGTCTGGTCGATGGTGTTCAGCAACTGCCACTGAGCTTACTAGAAGGGGGCCACTGCCTCTCCAGTCTGCTTCTGGGGGGGCAGAGCCTTGTTTTTTGTGGGTGGAGCATCTCCCGTGTGGTGAACAGAGCTTTGCCTTTCGTGTGTAGAGCCTCTTACTTGTGGCCATAGCTTCACCTTTTTGGGGGGTGGAGCCTCTCTGATATGGGTGGAAATTTGCCTTTTGTTGGTAGAGCTCTTACTTGTGGGCATAGCTTTACCTTTTGGGGGTGAAACCTTTCTCATGTGGGTTGAACTGTGCCTTTCGTGGGCAGATCCCCTTATTTGTGGGGACAGCTTTACTCTTTGTGGGTGGAGCCTTTCCCATACTTGTGGGGCTTTGCTTTTTGTTGGTAGAGCCTCTTACTTGTGGGCATAGCTTTACCTTTTGGGAGTGGAGCCTCTTCCTTGTGGGTGAAACTTTGCCTTTTATGGGCATAGCTTCAGCTCTTGGGGGTGGAGCTTTGCCCTTTTTGGGGAGAACCTCTCCCACAGGTCTTTTGTTGCAACAGACCGCAGCTCCCTCATAATTTTTATTCCTCCATCGTTTGCAGGGTGGAAGAGTTGGTCTACAACCTGGTACTGGGAGTGGTCTTCATCTTCTGCTACCTGAACCCCGTGGACACCCCAACGCGGTACCGCTTTGTCATCTTCTACGTGGTAACCTTTGTGGAGAACAGCGTGCTCCTGGGCATCTTTTATGCCTACAGCCCCACGGGCATCTGGTACAAGTTTCCGGCAGTGCTCGGCGGAACCCTCTGCTTCGTGCTGGGCATTGCATTCATGGTGGGTTTTCTCGAAAGGGACTCCGACGCCAAATCAACAAAAAAGCCATTTTGATTGGGTATACTAAAATAATTAAATAGCCACTGTAAGCTTTCATTATAACAAGTCAATGGCAAGATAAAAAAATTCATTACAAGTGCTAGTGCAATGAAAGCGGGAAGGCCACAATGTAGCGAAGTAGCCTTGGCAGTGGATGGAAACACCACGGAGGACCCAAAAACAAGTATTTAATTAAACGAGCCTTAGCGGTGAGCAACTTGAAGGACCTTTACTGAGGGGTAAAAAAGTGTAAGGTTAGTTTTTCTAGAATTTTTTTCTGGGCATCAGTAATTCAGGTCTGTTCATGCAGTGCTTTTTCTCAATGCTCGACGGTTTCGCAAAACTAATACTCTGTACTTTCGGCTGACAGACACATTCAGTTTGATGCAGAACAACAGTGACGTATGGACTTGCAAGGGTTTCACCAAAGCCTGTCATTTACACCGGAAATATCAAGCGTTTCACTGCAAATGACGCAATTCAATGAGAAGTCATTGGTAGCTGAGGTATCAAAATGAGCTGTTGGGGTAGTTGGTTTTGCGGATTTGCATTGTAGCACAAAGACAACACAGGAAGGAGACGGAGATAGGAAAGAACGCTAACTCACAACTAGGTATTCACGATACCTAGTCTTTCACGATACATACAGTAAATACCTAGTTGTGAGTTAGCGTTCTTTCCTATCTCTGTCTGCTTCCTGTGTTGTCTTTGCGCTACATTTCCTGTGTTGTCTTTGCGCTACATTGCAAATATATAAATTTCTAGTTCAGGAAGGCATTAAGATCGGGCCCTGCGATTGAGAGTGGAAACAGCGACATGTTTTTGTTCCAGAGAAGGTATACTCATTCTCTGTTTCGGCGGGAATCGTCGAAACGTGCCTTACTAGCAGACGCTCTCTCATCACAGAACACAGGGAGGAGCGTCAAAAGTAAATGAAAGGCGCTACAGACACATATGGGCGTCCTGGGAAGCCGTTTCGCAGAGAATCGCACGATGCTGGGTTTACGCCGGCGCATTAATCCAGTTGTGCCCAGTGCATTTCCAGTCAATGTCACGAATTGCTGGTATCTGACCCGAAGTTTTCGGCGAAGTCGTTCGAGCTCGAGACGCGGCCCAGTTTTTGAATTGGCGCTCCAGCCATTGACACCAGCACTCCAGGGCCCCGAGTGCCCGCACGGACTTGTGTGTTTGGATGCCCCTGCCTCCGAGCGAGAGGCAAGACTCGCGGGCAGTGACGCGCTGTCGGGGATATACAACTCTGCTCGTTGTAGACGGGACGAGGTAAGGCACATGCAAGCGCTAAAACAAAACGAATGTCCACAGGTCAGCGCAGCATACCGATAAACTAAAACAAAACGCCGTCTCGGTGGCGCGTGAAAATTGCTACCGCCTCTACAGTCGGGTCACGCAAAAACAGTCTTTGGCACGGTGCACGAAGGACTGGTCGGGCCTTCACGGCCTTTCCCGTCTTCCTTGTCGTGCTGCTCCACCTTACGGTATCTGTAAGAAATGAGAGTGGATCTTGGGTGTGCGGTGCCGTTTAGCTGCCCTTCTCATCTTCCCTGGAAGGCCTATCACACATTCTGTGCTTACCAGTCTTTGTCAGCGCGATCAAACTTGTATAACATTTTTAAATCAAAATATCACTGCACGGCTATGCCATGTAAAGGTGGAGTGTCGATTCTCCGAATGCACCATGCCCCCAAAACTGAAAATTATAGAAGTTAATTAAAGGCTTTTGGTACTAGCTTCTACTAATTAACCGATTTCATTTCCTTTCTACTGGCCACTAGCTTGACAACAGTGCTAAAAAATCCCTAATATAAGTTCCCCTTTTTTGAAAACTCTGAACCAACAACAAAAAAAAAAGAAAAAATTCCGAGGACACTTAAGCACTTCTTGTGGGTTGTGAATGCGAAAGTATGAACGTCGTTCTTCCGCTGCCTTAGTTCGTCTGCGGCATGCTGGCTTGGGTGGCCACGTTTTGCTACTGCCACGGTAGCGACTGAGCCCGGCCGTGCAACCGCTCCGAACTTTGCCCGTGCGGCCAGGTGCTCCCTCTTGCCAGCGGCCGGGCTGCTGCGTGCACTGCGCCGCCATGGAGAGGGCTTCTCTGGTGGCATTCCTTGGAACTATGCCACACGAGAGCCAGTGGGAGCCTCGTTCCTTGAAACTATGACGCGCGCCAGCCAATGGGAGCCTATCTGTCAGATTTCTGCTACAGACGACGGCCTGCTCTCTTTGGGACAGGGGAAGGTGCTGTTCAGCGTGGCTTGAAAAGCTGACGACGTTGGTTTGCTAAATGGAACAGTTAATGCTTTTACATCAAAATCAAATGCCCTCTAGACAGGCCTTGTGTCAGCATGCAGTTGTGTGACAACCGCAGGTTAGCAAGTCACCCTGCACTATAATCGAATACAATTTAAGAATGTGCCACGAGCTCTTCCCATACACTGATCACCGCCAGCCACCAATCCCCCGCGATGCGCAAACGGTCTGCCACCAAGGCAGACACCACATATATCGATGCGTTGCACTGACGTCACACTACTTGTCGTGGCTACTCCGTTGCCTGGTTGGTTTGCGGATCGATTCAATACCTCATCTGGAACGTGGTGGAATTTGGCACACTTTAACTTGTACCCGACTGTACCTGAATTGGCCCCCACGGATTTGAACTGGTACCACCAAATCTTGTGGGAACATTGACCTCTTGCTCTATAGACATTTGCATCTCTGATTCGCTTTTTCTTCCGTTTGTCTCGCAGCTGATCTACTACCTGCTCCTGCATCCGACGGGCAACATCCCCGTGGTCCTACGCAGAAACCAGTGTAGCCCCATCTCCAGGCTCCAGATAAAGCAGGACATCCTCAAAGAGGATGTGCTCCGGGAAGAGGTCCTCAAGAAAGAGATTCTCGGCGAAGAAGTGCCAAAGGAAGAGATCCTCCGCAACGACGTCGGGAACGACGTGGAATCTCCGGACAAGCCGCAGGCCGTCGAAAGAATGTCGTGCCGCTGCACTTGCGCCGAAGGCATGACGCAGTGCTGACGACAATTGTCGTTTCGCTTTTGTCTTTAAGACAGGTTCACTCGTTTGCGTTTGGGTGTGCTCAAGCTCGTTGCGTTCACACTAGTGCGATCATTAGGTAGCCCAGGCAACACCTCCGACCTACGTATATAACTACTGGAGGTCTTGTAGTATTCACGAGATCAAATCTACGCACATGGTAAGCGGCTTCGAAGGAACACAACGCACCTGGATGCACTCAAACGCATACGTGCGAACCCACTTTTATAATTTCTTTACGAGGCAGCCAACTTACTCGTCGTCTACAATGAAGCCACGAGAGAGATTGTCGAGATACCTTGTGTGGAAACGAAATGCATTTGCAGTGAGATTTCTACTTCTGCCGGCGCTGTAGTCACTGATGGGGCGAGAAGGGCGGGGAGCTCCTTTGGGTGTCCCGCCTCTGGGTCAAGCTTCCTACTTTCGGCGCATCGTAGACTGCGGGCACCCACGCGCAGCCAAAGCATGAAAGAAATGCAACAAGCGCGTGCCAGGGGAGGGGCATCCGAAAGAGACGCCTCATACTTTTTGAGTCGTAGGCAAGAATGGCCGCTGCAGATTCGGGGATTTTGCATGTCGGTCGCGACTGGATTTGTGTCGCAGTCGCAAGTTTTTAGTGTTACGGCGATGTGACCGTGAGTTCGAGCGCGGCAGTGTTTAGTTCAAATATTGCGGCCATGTAGGTTGGTGAATTCGAGTGGCAGCTTCTTGAAAATTCTACCGTGTATGGCGTGGGTGGCCAGATGTCGGGTGTCGTAAAGTTTTTATGACGTTGTGATTGTGGGCGGCTGAAAGCTTCGGGATCATGCGACTCTCCGGTGCAAAAACGTCGACAGGCAATTTTGTCGCTCCAAGCACAGAGCCGTTGGCGAGAGACTGTCTAGTCAAGTACTTGGGGTAATATATACGTGTGACAGACGTGCAGAGTATAACTTGTTCATGCTATATTTCGAAGGGACTGTTGCCTCGATTTTTTACACTTGTTTAGCTGTTACCTAAGGACTCCATGTTTTGTACACACATATTTAGTTTTTATACGATGAGCTAAACAAAGTATTTGTTGTGGAACGATGTCACTGAGTACTCCAGGTTCAATTCAGATATTCAGGTGAGAGACATTGCAGCGTCCTTGGACATTTGTACCATTCTCCAACCTCCAGTGACCCTTGAAGAAACCATGGGTCCATTCACAGGTGGGGGGAACGCAAAAGAGGTCACAACAGAGCTCACAATTTACCGGAAAGGAGTCCGTACACGAATAGCATGTTATACCTGCCAATTGCTGTTCGATCTCTACAAGGTTTCCCTGATCTCAGTTTCTTTATGTGCGCCTCCCTTTTGCAGGGACTCTTATCAGCCGGGCGTAATATTACATTTCCACCAACTGTACAAGTGCCAATAACTTAATCGACCTGTCCTTTTCGGATCATGACAGAATGTTAGATTTAGGGATATCTCCATAGAGAGCCTCCCACATTCCCCACTAACATAGTTTGTGTTCTTCCGTTCTCCCCACCCCTTTTGGCATCTCGGTTTCTTCCAAATAATACATTTGCTATGAATTTCGACTTTATTTCACGAGTTGAGAGCTGCACTATCAAAAGCACATGGCACAAGAGCACAGCACCCTTTCAATCCCTAATTTGGGGGATTTAAGTACCAAGCCAAACCCTCGGAGCAATTTATGTTCCAAGCCAAAACCTCGGAGCCACAAAAGTTGTTTCTAAAACAATGTGTTTATGCCTTTTACAATGATGCACAGGACTCTTGGGATAAAGTGTGGGCCTCATTATGGAAATGAGACTCTGTCAAATCCTATTCACCTTAGCAATGTGGTGCAACTTCTAAGGACAGCCACGTCATCAGTGGTGCTTGTGGTTATCAGATTTTGCAGGATTGAGATTTTTAAAGCAGTGCAGTGCATTTATGGCGGCGACACGCACTTCGCCGGATGGAAACGAAATGGGCCGTCTGATTAGCGTGTGGCGAACCATCGTAACTTGCGATTCTCCACAATCTAGTGGAATGTCTGTGATAACTGAAGAATTCCTGTAATGGCAATGCTGCCGTGTTTCTGGTATAACGCTTCTTTTTTCCGTCGTGGCGAGAGGACGCATTTTTCCGCCAGGATTCCACAAGCACGAGTCTTGTACTCTTCGTTTAAATAAAATTAGAATTGCAAAGTTACTTTTTTTCGTTTTATTTTTTGTGCATCATTACAGGCACGAGGGGGCATTGCATGTGAAGTATACACCTGAACAGCCTGTATTACAGAGGGTTTCCGACTACTTGATTGGGGTCAGATGGTGTATGGGCCACATTTGCAATACAAGCTGCTTGGAGGTGACGGACATATTGGTCATCCGCGAGCGTCTCCACCTGGATGGATGGATGGATCAAATACTTGACTGGGGAGAATACAGACTGACAGTATCTGGGACATTTGAATGGCTGGGTGTGTTGCAGCGTCGTGGTTTTAACATGAAACGTTTATAGGCTATGTTTTCAGATGAAGTGTAGCCGCGAATTTGTTTGCTAAATTTAGCGGGCAAAAATGATGCCGCATGGCTTTATGTCACGAGGCGTTTATTCAAATTCAGTTTCCCAGCGTAAAAATGTATGTCATGTCACATGACCTATATCCAAATTCAGTTTCTTTGCTAGATTTAGCGGGAAAATTGACTTGACGTCACGTGATCTCAACACCAATTCAGTTTTCCAGCTAAATTTAGAGGTAAAAAAAATGTTGGCATGACCGCGTCTTGTGACCTATACACAAACTCAGTTTCCCCTCTAGATTTAGCGGGAAAACTGACATCACATGACCTCAGGAACAAATCACTTTCCTCGTTAATTTCAGCAGGAAAAGTTATGTCACATTACTTCATGTCACTTGACCTATAGACCTTTCCAGCTGCAGTCTCGGACGAAGTGATTTACAGTGCGCATCCCTGGTTTTGAGAGTGTACGTCAGTGTTGCCTGACTGCACCGAGCTGTGGGTTTTCTCGTCAGTAGGCTGTGGCAGCCTGCGTAGGCACAATTCCGGACGCTGGTGGCGGCAAAATTGCATTGTTTTATTTTTTGTTTTGTGTTCTATGGCAAAGAGAATTTCTCGGAGTTTTTAGAAAGCATTACACAATTTTTGGGAACGAAAGCAAACAAATATAAGCTATTTTCGACGAGTCCGTGCTCGACAGAACAATTTCAACTGGAAAATCTGTTTGATTTTATGTTGATCTTTTTTAACGGCACCATACACTCAGCCGTGTCAATCTTCAAAGGTCTTAACTGCCCAAAACATTTGACCAGACCACAGTATAGCCGACCTGCATGAGTATTTCCCGCGCTCGCAGCATGAAATTCAATGTGTCTCATCAATCGAACATATATTGTACGTACTCCACGGTGCCGCGTTATCAGAACAGGATTTCACAAAGGTCTCAAATAACACAGCATATACAATATACAGTGTCGACGATAGTCACTTCACGACGATCAAACGGAATCGGGCTTCTCTTGGGGTATGTTTTGAAGAGTGGTGCTTTTTTACACAGCACTAAAACAAATGAAGCAACGTATCTATACAGTCCCCATACCCCGGACCCTACCAGCTACTTTTTGCCAAGACCGGGAACATGGCCGAGAAAGGTTTTCGAAGATTATCTTAACGAAAATAATCCTCGAACAATGTCGAACGGCCCGCGTCGCGGGCTGCTGACGCTCGCTCTCTACGCTCGTTTCCTGCAAAGGTCGAGCAGGTTATGAGCCCTGGTAATCCCTGGTTCTCACGGTGGAAGAAAACGGCACCATGACAGAACAGCACACGACAAAACAGCACAGCGTCAAAACAGCACAGTGTCAAAACAGCACGGCGTCAAAACAGCACAGTGTCAAAACAGCACAGCGACAAAACAGCACAGCATCAAAAGAGCACAGTGACAAGAGAACGGCGTCAAAACAGTACCGCAACAAAACATCTACAGCGTCAAAACAGGACATTGACAATATAGCTAGGGTTTGACCTTTTCGGTTTTTATTATTTTGAAATTCGGCGTACTTCTTTCGTTTCTAATTAGAAACAGAAGTTTTCGGCTTATTGCGATGTGTTTTTGTAGACTCACAAACTTCTCGGTTATTTTCAGTTTATTGACGAAAACCAGTATACTGACGAAAATGCAGGTTTTTAAAAGCATTTGTTAAAATGTATAGTGAGTAAACCATGTACTGGTTTTCGTATTTGTTGCGATCTGTGGCAGCCGACGGGACCTGTTCTGCAAGACGCACTGGGGCCCTGTTGCGATCTGCCATTATCGTCGTGTGCTCGTGTTTATACACAGGACGAACATGATCTTCACTATACCATTTCAGTCGGAGAGGAAAATATCAAAATCCATAAATTCGGAAGCACGTATACTCAGTGCGTTTTTTTCCCCATTTTCACGACTGCGAGAGGTGATAAGTTTGCGCCAACCACAGAAACGACAATAAAACAATCGTATTTATGCCCTCCTTTAGTAGACGGAAGCTAGAGCTGTTAAAAAATGTTCGGCATTTACGGACGCCTATGATCTTCATTGTTCAGTTCATGATTAAACTCCCTTATTTGAACAAAGAATTCTGCACACAAAAAACTATAATGTGCAAAAACCCAGCTTTCGTCCTGAAAACACCTGCGCCCCTGGAGCTTTTTTTGAAAGTTCAACTGATCTCGAAGACAAGATGCGAACTGCGAAAGGAAGTGGTCATATGGTCAGTAATGAGTCACCCCCCCTCCAAGCGCCCTCGAAAAAACGGACCTTTTTCAGTAAAAACCAAATTTGGAGAAATGAATTCCGCGTACGTTTACCGGTTTTATTCTGTTTAAGCCGAAAAACGATGAACCCTAAATATAGCGTATGGAGTTAAAAATGCATGTGTCAAAGTAGGCACTGAAAAGGAATGAAGGGTCTAGGCCAGTTTATTTATTTATTATTTCAGTACCCTCAAGGCCCGAGGGCATTACAGAGGAGAGGGGCAAGTGACAAACCATAATACAGAAATGAGAATAAATACAAAAAAATTAACAAGAGACAAAGCAGTCAGGGTGCCTGCTGACAAAAATTACTGGTTAATGCAGTTCTAAAAGAATCAAATGGTGACGTAGATACTAAAGATGCGGGAAGCAGGCTTTCGACGAGTTGGCTTACGTCGAAAGCCAACTCGTCGATGGCCAATTTGTCGAATAGGTCAGTTCGTCGAAGGGCGACTTGTGGAAGAGGCCAACTGGTCGCCGCTTTTTCAAAACCAAAATATATAATTTTTGCCCTTAAAAGGCAAAGCAAATACTGCCCTATATAGTGTAATTCGTAAAATCGCCGCACGATAATTGACTTTCAGTGCGCTCTTTCTTGTCGAAGAGAACAACTTGTCACCACTTTCATGAGAGCCAAATTAGATGCTATATTGCAGTTAGGGTTGCGGAATTTGGTAAGCACTAAAATAGACAATTTTTTTTTATAAACTAGCGACAGTAAATGAAATGGTCAAGGAGGTTCGAAATTATTCGCGCAGAGAGAGATGAAGGGCGCGCTTGAAGTTGCTGCATGCGTGCTGTTTTGACGCCGTGCTGTTTTGGCATGTGCCCTTCTGTCGCAGTGCCATTTTGACGCTGTGCTGTTTTGTCGCGTGCTATTTTGACGCGCGCTGTTTTGTCGCCGTACTGTTTTGACGCTGTGCTGTTTTGACGCGTGCTGTTATGACCGTGCTGTTTTGTCGCATGCTGTTTTTCCTTGTGCTGTTCTGTCGCGTTCCCGGAAGAAAACACAACACACGCAAGCATCCTGAACAGGCAAATAAAGTAAAAACTTTCAAGGAAAGCCGGCGAAATCTGAATGCACATTGCAGGTGGGGAGCCGCGTTAACCGGGTTTCCACAGCTTAGGCGGGTGGCAGAAAGTTTTGGCTGATAGGGGTCGCTTGAGTCGCAAAATGGCGGCGGCCAAAGAGCTCTTTTTGCAAAGGTCTATACAGCTTCAGTTTTCCTGCTAAATTTAGCGGAAAAATTAACCACTAACTTTAACTCTACTAAACACTTAGTCTAGCTAAAGTGAACTTAGTTCACTTTAGTTTAGCGCTAGTGGTTTCAAGGTAGAGTACTAAAAGGGGGCACGTTGCAATATTGGTGAAGCATAGTCATAAAAAGTTTAAACGATTTTGTGCCCAGCGTGACCGCAGATTTCTCTGTCGATTGGTGCGCGTGACATGTCACGTGCGAGACGGATGGTTGATTGTAGGAGGATTCCTTGCAGGGTTGCGCGCGCTCCGTCCGGTAGGTTTTATCAGCTCGAAGGCTACGCTGTGGTGTATTCTAATACACCATAGCTAGACGAAGGCTAGCTATGGTCACGTGACGTGGTCACGTTGGCCTGATAAGTGAGGAGAGTAAGGAGAAAAATGAGAAAGAGGCGAGGCGGTCAAGGGAGCATGGTTTGTGGAGGCTACGCGGCCGACGGCATGCCCTCTCCTACTGCGTGGTGCACGTTAAAGACTCCAGGCTAGCGGTTGTACTGCACTGGCTAAATTGCTCATCTACAGCGTGTGACTCGTCGCAACTTTAATGGCTGACCAACTACACGCTGTATAAATATCCCCATAACCCAAAACCAATGCCATCTCGGGTTGGCGTCTTCGCGACCGGCCGCAAATTTGGTATAGGAACCGTGCGCATCTAATTCAAGCCCCGACCAGGGCGCCCCTAGCGGCAAGCGGGTCCATTGCATCGGGGAGCTTCTGCCAGTCGCTGCGTTGGTTGTGCGTTGTAGTGGGTTAGCGCTGTAATTTCTGCGATGGCTATTCCGCACCAAGAAAGCCGCAACAACTGCTGCGTGGTCGGCTGAAACAGTACGTCGAAGGTCGCGCACGGCACGAAGTACTACATCGTCCCTTCGAAGCCGTACGAGGCGGAGTACTGCGCGATCTGGGTGCGACTTGTGCGTCCATGCAGGTTAGTGGCGTTTCTTACCTTCCAGTTCGCGCAATACAATTAACTTTTTTTCTATTCTAGCGACAATGGAACAGCATCTACACCGACGGGAAACTCTAAAGTATGCAGCAAACACTTCACCGGAATTGAGAAGCGGAATGCGGTCGCCCACCTAAGCCTACCCTTGGATGTTTCCATCAGCCTACAGTGGCAATCGCGTAACGGC